AAATCAATAATTAGTCAGAAACATGATTATTATGTTGTTTATTGTGGTTTTGAAATGTCTTGATCTCCTCATGTGTTCTCATATGCTTTACCATCGGAGATGTGCACAAGTCGATACCCAAACCAAAAAATCATTCAACTGTAACGAGCGCTTTGGGGTATATATCGTTACAATGAGACAAGGTATCTGAAAGAAATATGGCGGAATACGGCTATAGTTGGTATGAAACAAGTCGTACATAGATGAAAATGTTGCGTTTTTAAGAATTCATGTCAGCTTTAATTTGATACGTATAAGAATATTTAAAAAGCATGAAATAAGTAAGGCTATACTTTGAAACTATAATAAGATATATAACATTGTATATAGCGATCAATTCCATCATTATAAGGATAAAAACTTGCTTTGCCTGTCCACATGTGATTATCGTTTACTGCATTCTTGTGAACAATCGTTCAGTACGATTGGTCAGTATTGTAAGTGGTATTGCTGGGTTTTGTATTTCATATCAAAGCAGTACAGTGGCGGATTCAGGGGGGGGGGAAACCCCTGCTCATTGAATTTTTTTTTACAAGTGTCATTTTATCGTTTTGTTGCATTGATAAGACTCTAATAAACATGAACCCTTTGTACAACTGTGATATATACATAAACTACGTAACAGGAAATCACTTTCCGCTTGAACGCACACAATACACAGGTAATCAACAGGGAGAGTGCCTCAGAGATCGGGTAGTCCGTGCATCTAGTGAAGTCGCAAGGTCACAGTACAATGTAGTCAGGTACCAACACCAGAAAACTGCATAGTTACGGTGCTGCTCAGTAATATTCTTTTGCTGATAAAATGCATGTTTTTTAAACTATGAATAAACTATAATTTAGTTTTTTTTACCGTTTTAAAAATTAAAATTAATATATATTTTTTTTAACAAAACCAGGTTGGCTTAGCAAACCCCTCTAGTTCTGACAGATTCTCCAGTTTATGTAATTTTTTCTTCAGTTTGAAATTTCATTAATTGAACACGTGTGTTTATATTCAAAATCATATTAACAGTATATACTCAAGTAAGTTGAAAAGCACTAGTTAGGGATTCTGAAAAGAATTCAATTTTTAATTTTTTTAGTGTTTAAAAATTTTGCACATAGTTGTATCTTGGAAGTCAGCTTGACATAGGACTAAATTGATTGTAGGTGCATTTAAAGTAAAGACAACTTGAAGTCAACTGCTTGCATTCCTAAAATTGGCAGATTTAACAATTTTTTTAAGCAAAGTCTAAAGTCTTGTGCTAAAGTTAAATTAAATTGAAAACATTTTATTAAAAAATTGTGATGATCAGTATTTAAAAAAGCTACAAAAACTACTCCCAAAATGCTGGAAAATGCACCATTTAGAACCATTTAAAACAAAATTTTCTCGGGGGAGGTCCCCCGAACCCCCACCTATGGGAGGGGGACACCCCCTCCCCATGCCCCCTTCAGTCCTTTGGGCCTCAACCCACCCCCCACATGAACTTCTGGATCAGCCACTGTAGTATTGCTTTCATTGAAATCATACATCCAATCGATGAGTAATATTTAAGGAATAACTGTCTTATTTTTCGAATTCATGAAGTGATCAATGGATTGGCTTGTGTGATAATTTGCATAAACGCCGAAGGCGTTTATGAATAAAATTATCACACAAGCCAATCCATTGATCATCTTCATGAATTCGAAAAATCTGACAGTTATTCCTTATATATGCTTTGATTCCGCCAATCCACGGGCTCCAAGCCTGCTTCTCTCTAACGTGGTTTTTTTTGGAACCGCGCCAAAACATTCATGTCAAAACTTTTTTTATCCACAAAGACTCGATCAAGCAAAGTTATACGCTGTTATTGGAATGATAGTAGTGTGATTTTGTAATCATGGTATCATTCATCGTCGCAAACCACGGTCAAAATGTACGATCCTCTCCCATTCTGGAGAGAGCTAAATGCGGACTCCAGACCGTGGCTTGAGACGATGTGAGCTATATGCGAACTCCGGACCGTGGCTTGAGACGATGGGAGTCATTTTGAATGCGTTTTCAAATAAAAATATCAGTGTCCAATTAATCGCACCTTGAATTTTAATTTGAAATCTACGAGACGAGAATGTTTTATTAACTACAATTTCACCAAATTATGTGAATCAGTTCTCTTAATTCTTAAAAAAAAAACTAAAGTCATGCATGCGCGGATCTAGAGGGGGAGGGGGGGGTCCGGACCCCCCTGGAATTTGCAAGGTTATTAAATTCAAATACTAAATCAAGTAAAAAGGGTCCTTGGACCCCCACTGGAAAACGCAGACGTCGACCCCTTGGAAACACAAGCACTTGTTTCGGAAATAATTTTTAAACCCATAGTATAATCATGACACAGGTACTTATTATTATACTATGGGTTAAAAAATTAGTTCCGAAACAAGTGCCGGTGCCTGAAAAACGCGGATTTGTGTTAAATTGGTATGAAAAATCGAAGGTTTGAAGCATTAGAAGTGAACGACTTTGAAAGAACAAGGACGCCTTGCTGTGTTTTTGACTGTAGCATAAAGGTGTGTAAATTGTTTTTTTAGTGAAAGGAAAAATGTATGAAGTTTGATAAAAAGAATCTGGAAAAGTTATATTCATAATAAGGTCAAGGTCATGGGAAGGCTGAGACAAAAATATGTAAAATTCCACACTCTTCAAATATACAAAAACTTAATTGTCATGAGTTTTTGTCATTTAATCATTGAATCATATAATATAAAACAATTATTGTTGGGGTGTTTTCGGTCAATACGATGATTAAGCCACCCTCGAAGCATAATATTCACCTCATCCTTCAAGCACGGTGAATTTTGTATTTCTCAGGTGTGAAATTTCAAAAACCAGCAATATAATTGCATAATATTTTGTTGTAACGCATATACATACATGTACTAGTTAGTTAACTCCTTGCGCAACGTCATGCTTGAAACATCTCTGCGAGCAACTTAAGTCAAAACAGAAAATCTGTTTTGTGTGGCCTTTAAAAAAAGAACCAAAAACTTTTTTTTGATGGATAGTATTTCTGGTACGTTTTTGACCAAAGAGTATCTATGCATAATGGCTTATATATATATATGTATGCAAACCGCGGTAATGTTTGAATTTTACGTCTTTTGTATTGATTTTTCTCACGGGAAGTGGCCATCCTGTCAAACAAGAGGAAAGGAATAAGACAGGAAAAAACATACCAAAAACAATCGAGAACGCTCTTTGAAAACTTTAAACGGAATGAAAGCGACAGTTAGATAGATTACGAAAGTGTCAATACATTTTTCGTTTACTATGCCACCACTCTGCCAAATTCAATTTAAGTCCGATAAAAAGAGAGATTAAACACGATATTCATTGATAAACGTTTCTATTTGATGAATCGAACTATTCAGAAGGGAATCTGTTATTTCTTAAAGATAAAGATTGAACAATATCGTCACTCTCCCGAGTAACTCGACCATTCTTCTTATAAATGACCAATAAATCTGTTCCATGGTTTGTATAATGCCTAACCTCTCCACAGAATACCCCAATGTTTACTTATCAAAACGAGAAAGTCCTTATCTTCTATCCGTAATTACGCCTCAAATCAAAGAAATATATGTATCAGAAAGCTTGTTTTTCTGTGGAGTTCTAGTCTGTTTATGCTAGAAGCAAAAATTTCTTCATATTATGGATAACTCGATAGAAGAGGATCGTCTGCTGACGTCCACTCCGATTCAGAGTCTGGATGTACCACATCTTCTGGATCCGGGTGAGAATCTTTCGGATAGCAAAAGCGATGATCGGGACACCCCGGATTTTGTCGTCAGACTTGGTACTTCCTTGGCCAGGTCAGAAGCAGAGTCACAGTACAAACTTCTGCTAAAAGAATTCTCACTTAGACCTTTGGAATCACAAAAGATTCCCAAACAACAATCATCCATTAACTCAGGTACAACCAGTATCCGGAGCTCCGGCCGTGTTTCACCGGTTCGACGTCGGAGCTCCGTAATTTCCATCGGTAACGACCTTCGCCGGCGTTCTGTGACGTCAGTGACTGGGGAGCAGCATCTCCGGATGTTGAGTCGAGGACTTGGTCGTCTGCAGAGGAGGAGGAGAATGTCTACCAAAGGTCTACTGTTCCCTCCCCTGCCCTCACCCCAGGAGGACCTCTCTCCGCGGGAACCGGTTAGTTCTCATGCTCTTATGTCTTATCTTTGTTGTAAGATAAAGATAAAAAGCAAAATTTTATTTTTCCTGAAAACTAAATATTCTAAAAGATTTTATATCAGATTTCTTTATTTGCAGAACTACGTACCGGAGAAGGTTAAAATTTTATACATACACCTCTAGTGCAACTGCCTCGATTGCACAATACATGTACATGTATTTTCATTTGCACTTTTTATTTTTTTTCTTTCTACGTATATTTTATATTCTGTTTACCCTGCACTTTGTTGTATCATTTCAATATTTCTCACAACATATGGGTAACCGGTGTTCATAATTTTATGATGATACACATTGTAGGCCATTGTCAAGTTCAGAAGAATCGCCAGGAGTGTTCTAATTGTATCCGGGATTTGGATTTGGTTAAAGAGGTGAGTACTAACTCCACCCCATCCACCTTTTATTCATAATGTAAATTTTGAACAACTGCTATTCTCGATATGTCATTGTCAAATCTGTCACGACTTTTACTTTGTATGACTGAGAAAACATCAATTTAATGGTCGCAGAGGTATATTTCTGTATGCTGTATAGAATAATGAAACTTGTTTAAAGGGGCTGGGGTTGTGGCCATTTTTCAGACTATTTTGACCTCCTTTAAAAGAAGAGCTCCATGTAAAGATTATACAAAAATGATCAAATTTAAAAAATAGAATGTATGAAATTTTTCTTTGCCAAATGATAGTTGACAGCTTATTTAAGATATATATCTAATTGTATTTATAACAGTTTTACAGTATGTACAGTTAGCCTTCAAAAAGTTAAACGACTAATTGAAATTAAACACTTTAAAAGTCATCTACAGGTTTAAATAGATTAGATATTAAGAGCCATAAGTTAAATTTTATATAGGAGCTGGTGGTTACCATGGCAACATGTTTTTCTAACAATTAACATTTGCTGCAAAGCAAACAATTGGCAATGACTGTTTCCAAAAGTTGAAGGTCAGATGTCTCAAATGCATGATAAAAATGTTTGGTAAATCAACTATTACATACGTTACTATGGTAACAAAGTATTCAAAAGTAAAAAAATAGTCATTGAATTTTATAAAGTCATGCATGTAAAATAAAAAAAACCAATTATAGGATGAAATGTGACCAAATTGAAAAAAGAGCCTAAACATATACCAAGAACAAAATATGATTTTTCATTTTGGTTGGCAGATTTTTACACTTCTAAAACCCAAAAAAAAGCACCAGTGAATGAAAAAATTCAGTCTTTAAATTCATGGAGATATATGCTTAAAAACAAAAATATTTTCTTTCCTTGGAATACCCTTAAATGTAGATTCCCAAAACTTTTATGATTGATATTTATTAACAGCTAACTTGACTTTTAATTTTGACTATCATCCAATCTTTAAGTGGATGCAAGAAGTTGGCACACAGGGTTTAATATTGATAAAAAGTTCACAACATCGAACATTTTCCCTTCTTGGTAACCATAGCAACAGTGTTGTTTTATTCATCAAATTTTATCAATATATGATTTTCAACTCAGTTCTTACAGATAAGTACTATTCAAGCTGAGTCCTTTCATTTGTTTCTTGATTAAATGGCAATTTAATTCTTAATGAAAAAATAATTCCAGTGGGTGACATGCAATAGCAATTATACCCAATTTTTCTAATTTATAACAGTGTTACATAAATTTTGCAGTTAAACCATGACTATATACTGGTCAAACATTTTCACTGTTTTTCTTATTTGATTGAACACATTTTAAAAAATGTACCCTTGGTTACCACTTACTTAGAGATATATTCTAAACAGTTTCTTTACAGTATAAGTGACATCAAGGTGTCATGTTTTTGTGAGAATGATTTGTTTGCTTTTTCTAGTTTTTATTAAGCCACAGTCAAGATTTAAAGTGGCTTAAAATCTCGATTTTTCAAACTTTTCCGGCTGTTGCCATAGCAACCCAGACACATAGCAACGAAATTTTGTTTTGTTTCTGGTGTCAAAAGTTTCAGTTGACCATGCGTGGCAACGAAGATATTAAACAACTAAATGTAATTAAACACCAGTGCAAAGAGCTCTCGAAACTGTCACAACCATCTCTAGAAACGCTACTGCGTGAAAATAGAAGACATCTAGTTAAAACAAATTGTGAACATTACCTTTAATAACCTTCTAAAGTACAATGTAACTAATCACTAAATATAGATACTTCAGGTCTGTAAGTACAAGTACTAGTATAAAAAGCTACAAGCCCAACACCTGCTATAAGGACAATTTATTTAAAAATCATTGCAAAGACTGACTCGAAAATAAAAGCCTAACATTTTTTCATCCTATAAATTGTAGCTAAGAGACAAGTTGAAAGAACTACTCTCCATACCCAAAGAACGAAGAACTCTGCAGAACATTCAAGTGGTGAGCCCAGACTTTAAAGAAATGACTCATTATAAGCGGCCTATTACCTAAGACGGCGCCTTTAATCAATGGTAATGTTTTTTTTTTCTATTTGACAGATAATGGCTCTGATGAGGGACAACGCCTCCTTTCAGGACTATCCCGTACACACACAGATACAACTGGCCCGCTGTATGCAGTACCAAAGGTGGGAAAATTTTTACATAAGAATAAAGAAATCTGCTAATAAAGAACAAAAGGGCCATTAGTTACTCAGGTGAGAGTTTTGGCCCATGGGCCTCGTGGATTGCTGTAAATTGACGTCAAGACGTGCTCTGGTTGCTGAACTTGCATACATTTTTATGACGAGTGACCAGGATGAGGTTTTTGGAACAGGATCAATCTACATTAACTTAAAGTCTTATGTTGACCAAAATTGCAAGGGCAGAACATCTAGAAGATTGCTTCGAATGCTGGATCTGACATTCATCCATATTTTTGTTTGTTTAACCTTCCTTCGAAAATTTTTCACTCAAAATTGAAAAGCCACTTCTTGGCGGAAGAGGTGAAACACATGGAGATAACGAACAGTATTCAAAAGTCCATAAACCAATACAAAACAGGAGCAGAGCAAACACAGACCTCCAAAACATCGGAGGTGGGATCAGGTCTACCAAGATGCTGTATTAGACTTACATGTACGTTTTCTGGATGATTGGCCAGGATTAAGTTTGGAGCAAACAGAAACTATTAGATGTACCTGAACCATAAATCGCCGTAAGGACAGTGCCAATTTAACTGAGAAAGGTCATTGTGATAGATTAAATATTGCAACTAAAACTCACTGTGAAAAACTTCATAACTGTTTTCTTTATTAGACAACAATACAGTATGTCTTTTTTATTTTACATGGAATCAGAAATAAACACATAACTGTAATTCATATAATTTCCTTAAATAATAAATTTGCAGTTACGAGGCACGCCGAGTGATTTTGAAGCAGGGCCACCCTCCGTCCATGTTTTACATCATGTTGACAGGCACAGCCATAGTGAACATCCTTGACGAAGACCCGCGAACGGGAAACAAATTCGTCCGAACAGTTCACGAACTTAACGGTGGGGACACGTTTGGGGTAAATATTCTCAATAAAAATATATTTGTTTGTTTGTTTCTTTGTTTGTTGTTTAACGTTTCTCTCGAGAATTTTTCACTTATATGGAGACGCCTCCATTTTTCGATGGAGAGCTGCAAATTTTGTGTTATACTCGGTACTCGTGGCCATTGAGCAAGAAGGGATCTTTTTCGTGCCAACACCCACTGCGAAACAAGATCTTGGTTTAAACGGTCTCATCCGAGGAACCAGCTAGTCTCCACGTCCCACAGTGGGATTCGAACCCGCGACGTAAGGATCAAATCCTTACTTCGCCTTTTTTAGAGTTGACGCTTCAACCACTTCGCTATGCGGGTAATGACCAGTAAAAATATGTAAAAGTCGTTGACTAAAAATCGTTTATCTGCGAATTCTGAAGGAAGTATAGGATGTGATTTTATTTAATCACTGGTACATATAACTTTTTATGCTCTGTTCATTTGTATATTTCAGGAGATTTCTTTGATACACGGGGGACTCCGCACAGCCTCCATCATTTGTAAAACAACGTGTGAGTTTCTAGTCGTTTTGAAAGAGGTATAAAAGACACCAATTCTTTAACTGAATATTATGTTGTATTCATTTTATATACATCTGAAACCAAACTGTTGTTTACTCGAATCAAATGTGTATTTTAAAGGATTTCGATGTCATAATCAAGGAGCCACTGCGAAAACAAAAAGAACAAAACGTAGAATTCTGCAAGTACGAATTTTGAAAATTTTATCAAAAGTTTGAGAATATTTGTTGCCTTTGAATACATGTTAAAATTCAAAATCCATTTAGATCACTGATGTTGTTCAAAGATTTCCCTTGCGAAAAAGCTTTCCAGCACAACACAACCCAGTTTTTCTACCAATATTTCAAGTTAGTCAGGGTTTTGTTATTAAACAATCTATTTATGAGAAGTAATAATACCAAATTTAAAAATGTTTAAAAAATAATATTGAATTGCCAGGTAATAAAAAAAGTATGGATATTTTCAGACCTGATGATGTCATTGTCAGAGACAGTCTGGAAAGTAAATACATCATTGTCATTAAAGCGGTAAGAGACAACATACCGTCAATGACTGCTTTTTATTGTAGAAAAAAAAAACCAAAAAAAAACAAAAACAAAAAACAAATAAAGGATGAAACTTATAATTTTTGAAAATCCTTTCTTTTTGGAATCAAGGGTAAATGTAAAATTGTGAGCGATTTCCAAAGTCGAAAATCAGAGACACGGCCAGACAGGATCAGAAAGATGTTTGAACCCGAGGTGGAAGAGGCCTTTCCCTTGTATACAACTATGAAAAAGATACAAGCAATGGACTCTTGTCCAAGTAAGAGTATAAGAGGCATATTGTATAAAGGGAAATAAAAACACTGTAAGGACAACTGGAAAACTAGAATACTACATTAGTTACTTTTGTAGGAACAGATAACAAACCCAGTTCCAGAGACAAATTTCGGATTGGGTTATTGACGGGTACGATAGATAGAGACAAGCTGGTGAGCAGCGTATCAACCCGTGTGTCGGTACGTATAGAACTGAAAAAGATTGGTCTAATACGATAGATATAGACAAGTTGGTAAGCAGCGTATCACCCAGGGTGTCAGTACGTGTCTGACTTAATATATCGGTATTTTTCAATTGGTACTAGATAAAGAGAAGATGGTGAGCAGCGTATCAGCCCGGGTGTCGGTAGGTACAGGAGGGAATAAGATTGGTCTAGTAATATAGATAGAGACTAGCTGGTAAGCAGCGTATCACCCAGGGTGTCGTTACGTACATATAGGGCTGAATAAGATTGGTCTAGTACGATAGATAGAGACAAGCTGGTGAGCAGAGGATTATCCAGGGTGTCGGTTACGTATAGGACTGAATACAAAGGTATGATACGATAGATACAGTTGTAGAGACAAACTTGTGAACAGTATATCTACCCGATCGTCGGTGCATATTGAACTGATACGATAGATAGAGACAAACTGGTAATCTGCGCATCATCCATCATCCAAGTTTTCGGTACCCATAGGACTGAAAAGAAAGGTCCAATAAGAAATACTGATTTGATCGGTACGGTACGATGAATAGAGAAGCTGGTGAGCAGAGTAAAAACCTGCGTGTCGGTACGTATAGCACTGAATAGATCGGTCTGAAATGATAAATAAAGACAAGCTGGAAGCTGGTGAGCAGTGTATCAACCCAGGTGTCGGTATGTATTGGATTGAATATAACGGCCTGGTAAGGTAGATAGAGATAAGATAATGAGCAGCGTATCAACACGGGTGTTGAATTAATAGATCCGTCCGATACGATAAGCTGATGAGCAGTGTATCAATCCATCTGTCGGTATGTACAGTATAAGACTGAAAGATCGTTCTGTTATACTAGATGAAGACAAACTGATGGGCAGCGTATCATCCCGGGTGTCGGTACGCATAGGACTAAATAGATCGATCCGTTACGATAGAGACAAGCTGGTGAGCAGCGTATCGTCCTGGGTGTCGGTATGCATAGGACTAAATAGATCGATCCGTTACGATAGATAGAGACAAGCTGGTGGGCAGCGTATCATCCTGGGTGTCGGTACGCATAGGACTAAATAGATCGATCCGTTACGATAGATAGAGACAAGCTGGTGGGCAGCGTATCGTCCTGGGTGTCGTTATGTATAGGACTGAAAAGATCGGTCCGTTACGACTGAACAATTTAGAAAGAAGAAGGAAGTAAGTGAGCATTATAATAGCCCAAGTATAGGTTCATTTACGGATTGAATTAATGCTGGGTGCAATAGAAAGAAAGAAGCTTGTGAGCAGTGTTGGCATGTAAATGGATTGGGTTGTTGATGAGTAGGTGAGCAGTGTGCCATTCCGGGTGTTTGGTACCTAAACGGATTGTTATTTGGTACAATAGAAAGAGATGCTGGTGAAAAGCGTGTCATTATTGAATTCTTGTAAGATAAACCTTGAGTAAATATGCACTAACAGAGGATGAATTTTAGTTACTGTTTTTATCAATTTAGCACTCTTATGCATGACTATTGCTATCTGTCATTTCCGGCCCTGGTGCTCGACTACTTGTTCCAATCGTCGTCAGATGGTCTCCAAACTCCACCGGATGTTTCGACTCTAAACAATGACACCCTCCAGCCGGTGGTTAAGCAGCGATGGCCAATCCACGATGGTTCCTGACTTCCAGCACGGATCGTCTCGGCGGTTTCACATCCAGCAGGATGACCTCTCTGTTGCTTCAGTCTTCTTTCTGCATCTTGCGTGCTCTTCCTGGTACTCCTAATCAGCTTCCACGCCAATGTTGCTTGGAACCCTCTGCAACGGACTTCTATTGGAAAACCCAAACGTTCCATCCCCTATTCTTGCAGTCTGTCACGAGGTGTGCATACTAGTATTTATTATTTAAGGCTCTTTCTCTATTGTGCCTTCTACAATTTTCTTCCCTTGACATGTTCAGCTATATTGCGATCAACGTCTTCGACTGCTGGAACATGTATTCTGCGTCTAGTCGCTGATTGGCTTTCACGATCTTAGGGAAAACTAACTTTCTGTCTAGATCCACTCCAAGATCCCACTCTCTATCCAGCATTGATGGCCACCATGTTGCTCATGTGTCAGTCGTTGTTTTCCACTGTCTCACAAATTGTAAATGTCTTTGTTTCAAGTCTGGTGGTTGTTATTCTCCCACACCTCTACAACATCAACCAACTCACACAGGATTTTGTATGTTTTGTCCTGTCACCATCTATACTTCCCTAAGTCAGCGCTTCTTGGCATCCTGATAGATTACTAGTATGTGCTTCAATCCCTTTCATACCACACAGCTTTGTGGCAACGCACTTTGAAAAAGTTTTTCAAAGTTTCGGTAAAATTGGTACCAGATCAACGCACTTTGAAAACTTTTTCAGAGTGCGTTAAATTTGGGACACACTTAACTCAATTTGAAAAAAAAATTTCAAAGTGCGTATTTTTTCAAAGTAACACAGCTTGCAGTCTGGGTCTTCGCTAAGTCCCCGTTGTTGCAAGTTTACAAGAGACGGGCTGGGAGTGTGTTAAACACTGACCTCAACAGGAACGAGATTCTAAACTGGACCATTCTATAACAATCCTGACCTTGTCTGGATTCCAGCTCCAGCGACCTAGTCATCTTAATTCTGAGTCCCATTACGTCATAACCAAGCAGCGGCATTTCGCTACCTTGAATTCTTCGACCACAGAAGAAACTGGTCTCTGTAATCTAGTTGAGTTGCTGTATAGTCCAGTCGATGTAAATTGTGGTGGAAATTGTAGCCATCAATCTAGATACTAACTTATCTTCGTTTCCGTGGCTTCGACAGTATTAGTTGCGATTTTAAACATGAAGAACAGCCACATACGTCTTGGTAGGATACCATGCTGGTAGATCCATGCCTTTTATTTCCCAGGTAATCCACATCCATCAACTATTTCTAGCCGAGAAAGGAGCTTCTTGATGCTATCTTTATCTGTGGGAGATTCATTTAACTACTTTCCCAAACATTTAAATGGGTCTCTTACTATTGAGAGGGATCTCCTCTCCTTGAATTTGCATCATGACTTTGCCTGTTGATACGCCCCTTCCTCGTTACGGGACATCTAAATTTCTACGGCTTGAACTTCTTACGTACTCAGGAAACACTATCTTCTAATGCTGAGAGGACCCATCTTGCCTGTATATGAGTCGTTGTTGTCGCTGTGAGATCATCCATAAAGTATCTGATATGTAGCTGATAAATACCTTATCCGAAGTCCATTCTTTGCCCTCGTTTCTTTTTATGTACTCCAGGTCACTATTCATATACCCATTACCATTACTTTTGCGAGGAACGCTTTTACATTCGATGGCTTACTTTTACAACAGGACAATGTACGGAAGCTATTTTACGTTTACGCTATAAATATTTAGCTCAACGAACATAGCGAGTTATTTAAAAGCATAAATAAGATACCCTTGAAAAAATCGTCAACCACCATACCCTCAACTTTCGGCCTTCACGTGTTAGTGCCCCTTACACCATACCTATGACCACTAGAAAGGTTTTCTGATCTATTATCAATTCTATACATCCGTACATGATACAGGTTTAAATGTCCTAGTAAACCGTCAACTGTAAAAGTCAGTGCTTCTCGCAAAAGTGCTTAAACAGGATAGTAGATAGCCTGTGACCATCCCTTTCTCTACTCTTTGCCAGGATGTGGTCGAGTCATCAACAGTGAACTACATCTTGATTCCTCCGAAGTATCTGTTGACAATTCCCTGAACATTCTCTGGTATATGGTACAGCTCCATCGCCACTTCAGTTAAATTGTGGGACACAGATCCATAAGCGTTGGCTAGACTTCAGCTGTGCTTTTCTTTTTCCCCCAGACCTTCGCTATTCTAAACTGTTTATTCAGCTCTTGTAGTTTTTGTCGACATTCTCTAATCTTTCGCGTCCGCCTATTCAGGGTCTGATCTTTGTGCTCATTTCTTGACATTCCTTTCTCTGTCCCAAACTGTTCTTTCCCAATGTTATACGCCATGTTGGTAAATATCTCTATCTTCTTCTCTTCATTCCCTTGCGTTGTTGACTCAAGAATTGTGCTGACCTTTTTGATCGAAGATACTCCACACTACTTCATCATCTCCTTTTGGCCATGCAATTTTTAGCCTCTTTTCCTTAACATTGTGTTTGCTGATCCATACTTATTTGAAAACCAAGCTCCTCCATCAAGACTCCGTTGTTGTCTTCGGAAGACTCGGACACGGAGAGATTCCTGGCTTTGTGGGTTGTATCCAAGCTAGGATCTTGCTGATCTCCCAGCTGGTTCTTTGCGCAGTGTTTGGATTGTCGCATTGGTATATCCTCAGTCCTCGGACTTTACCGTACGCACATCTATCAGCCTTTCCTTTATCTAATGTTAGTTGCGTCATTCTCCTAACTTGAGTTGTTCATTGTCGTTACCTTTAGATCTGACTTTTCGAGTCTCTCATCCTCCACCCCTCTCGGAAGTCTTCTAAGGGAGTTCATCAATTTTCTTTCGGTCTTTCTCAGTCGATCGTTATCCAATCTTTCAGATACAGGTTTCCCAGATTAACAGTACTAGTACGCATTTGCAGGAAATGACTTTCTGGTATCTGTCAGTTCGTCACTCTTATGCATGCCTTTCGCTATCTGTCAAGTCCGCCCTAGGTGCTCCCTGTCGGTTCCGGTAGTCATTAGATGGTCTCCATTCTTCACTGGATGCGTCAGTCCTAAACCATAATTTCCTACAGCTGGTGGGTCAGCAGTGGTGGTCAATCCACTACTCGATGGATCCGGACTTCCAGCACAGATCTTGGCTGTACCAATTTCAGCAAGAAGACTTTCTGCTTCTTCTCCCAGTCTTCTGTCTTGCGTGCTCTTCCTGGTACCCTTATCGTGCAAGCAGCTTCCACACTGATTGCACTGTATTAGAAGAAACTTTTACTTGGAAAATTATCTCTCTTATCAGAGGGTCGGTCTTCTTTAATTCGGCTGAAAAAAGAAGGGGTATAAAACTATTTCATGTCCTTGTTTTGTCAACTGGATTAAAGCGAACTAACAGTCTGTGGATAGGAAAAACCTATCGTCTGAAGTTCTGGAAACTGGTCAGAGAATTATTAATCATGTACGTATAGAATATAACATACAGCTTTTCTTTGTAGAATTCAGAAAGTGCCACAGAGAAACTGGCAACCACAGTTGATGATGAAATAAGTCAAATGACACTCCGAAGACATTCTGCTGGTAATAAACACATCTGGCCATGTTGATTTTTTTCTTTTCTTATATTCAATATTTGGATTAAGTGAAAAAATAAACGATTTTCAGATCCACATAGAAAATCCCAAAAGTCGGATCGTAGAACGATGTCCTCCAAACCACGGCTCATGGAAGAAATCCCGGATTGCGAAGAGGTACTGACTTGTTTTTGTGCTTCTCCTAAACACGTACATACTAGTACATAGCCTCAGAAACAGAATCATCCTAACACACACCATCAAACACACATACATATAAGTATATTTGTTTTCTACTTTCCTCGTTTCTAGGACTATGTGCCACGCAGTAGATGTTCCGAGCCCATCATCACGGCCTACGCCCAGATTTCAGAATTAAAGACGGGACAAGTATTTGTATGTAATTCTGATATTAGAATGAAGGTTATGGAGATAACGAACAGAATTCAATATCAAAGTCCATAAAACAATACAAAATAGGAGCAGAGCAAACGCGGACCTCCAAAACATCATAGATGGGATCAGGTGCCATGGAGGAGAATTAAATATAGCATTTTGTTTCGATAAGTACCGGTAAATCTCCAATGAAAAAAAGAATGCAAACAAGTGTCAGAGAAATGAACCGTTATTATATCTACGAAGTTTTGATTAAGACTTAAAAGAAAGAGTTGGATATCAATCATTTTAACTTTCAGAAATTTCACTATTTTGAAATTTATTTATTTGTTATTTTTGCAAAATCTAAAACACCCGTATGCTTATCATTAAAAAGAGTCCCGACATGGTACGAAAGAAAAATCATGTTTCCTATTGGTAAATGTATTTTTTCTGTCGTCATCATGTTCTATATTACGTCTAATAGGGATTGGAGTCTCTGATCTCCACCCCGTCCACACAACTGAGTCTGGTCAGCGAGGGGGCGGAGTGTATACTCATTTCTAAGCGGCTCTTCCTGAGGGAGGCTAATGTTAAAGTCCTAAGGATTGTCACAGACTTGGTAAGTTAGCATTTTAATAGATGTAATACATACAGTGTATTGTTTTAAAAATAAAAATAGCCACAAACTCTAAAGTTTACTTTCCTTTTCCCTTGGTTGTGTAATGGATAGATGCTATGCCCGATTTCGGACTACGATTCTTGCGAGGAAACTTTGACTAAACATTACATGTACATTTCTTTTGCAGGTTCAAAATTACCCCTCTCACAACTATATAAAAAATCAGGTGTTTAATTACCGGAAATGGGTGCAGTATAAGGCAAATTTAGAAAAGGAGGTATTGACCAACATTCAGAGGAAAAACAAAGCTTGGATAGGGGGCGTTCCCGCAAAAGGATGAGGATTTGCGTTGGACTTTGTGAAATTTACACTTTTAATTAGAATGTTATCTCAGATTTAACAACCATACAGTATTAAAATGATTTATCGTTAATTGTGTTTGGGTATTTTTTGGAGGAATAGGAAGAGCTAGTTTGAACAGGCCACTAAAGATAGTGAAAGCAGGAATATTTTTTTCTGAAAGACTTTTTGTTTCTGTCAAAATCATAAAAAGATGTGTATGGAAGCTTATGGCGAAGGTTGAAGTTTCTCAAATGCAAGTCAAATTTCAAGGGCAAGGTGAAAGGTCATGTCACAAGGAATGCACCTGTATAAAGGTTTTGACAAAGCTTAAGGTTTTTAAAAGTGGATCGAACTCTAAAGTCAAATCAAAAGGTAAAACATACTTATACCCATTGAAAGGTCTTGTCACAGTGAATACGCTTGTGAAGTAGGAAATTCCTACCATCAATTATTCAAAAGCTATGGTAAAGTTTAAAGTTTGGAATTTTTCGTAAAAAGTGGGCAAACTTCAAGGTGAGGGTCACGATGTCTTTTTCTTGATTTTCTTCCCTCGGAAGGGGGTTTGGTCCTTAATTTTTTTAACTTTAAGTATCCTCTTCACCTAGGAATGCTTTATTCCAACTTTGGTTTAAATTGGCGGTATTGTTCTTGAAAAGAAGTTGAAAATGTGAAAGTTTACTGACGGACGGATGAACAACGGGTGATCAGAAAAATTCACTTCAGTTTTCAACTCAGGTGAGCTAAAAATCGAGTAATTTCGCAAAATATTTTTATTTTAATTTTAAAGAATTAACTTGGTTAGAATCAGGAATTGGAGTAATTTTCGTCAGACTCCAAATAAGGAGTCCGAGTACTGTTCACTTAAAGGGGCTGGGTGGTTGTGGCCATTTTTAGACTATTTTGATCTCCTTTAGAAGAAGAGTTCCATATAAAAGATATAACAAAATGATAAATTTTAAAACTAAAATTTATGAAATTTTTCTTTGGCAAATGATAGTTGAGAGCTTAAGATATCATATCCCAAAATTTAAGTTATATCTGGTGGTTGATAAAAAAAATAATTTGTTGACTCCCTTGCTTCCTTAATAAATGTGTTGTCATATGCCTCACATTTTGTTAACCATTATGAACTTCGTGAGATGGATCTTTTAAATTTCTTTAATGTAAATGTCATACAGTACTTGTAAGAAACTACTTTTTTTCCATCAGGAAGACGTATATTTTTTAAAATCTAAACACTAACATTTGACCACAATAATGTTACATTTTAATTAATCTTTAAAAGTAACGTTTAATGTTAATCATCTGTATTGTGACTTGCTTCTTAATCCCCCGTTCTTTAGAGACTCGATAGTGTCTCCTTCTTGATCCCAAAGAATCCAAGGGTACTTCCCAATGGTTATATGATAATTACTGCTATTTTAAATATAACATGAAGCTGTTGCGAGATTTTAACGAATTTCTTACGTACTCATACCTATAAGTAAAATATGTACACGGTAGATTTTTTTCCCTCTCACTATATATGGCTTCAAAAGTACAGTGTAGCAATAAACAGATGTGGGCCTAAGAATAAAAGAAAGATAACAGCAAAAAGACTATTGTCAGAAAAAAGTGGAGGAGCTTTTCCCTCCTTTGGTCCTTTTGTATTAATGTCTGGAACCCAATAGAGTCCGAAGCCTGCTGTCTCCGAGTGTTCTGACTACAAACCTTTAATTTGCATGCACTGGACTTTGAGAAAGTTCAAACAAGAAATTCAAAATTTGGACAAATCGTGTCTCTTCTGGATCAGTAGTGAAAATAAAATTAAAAAGCAAATTTACAGTCCCTGTTTTTACTTCATATAAATTGTCTCCTCCGGCATAGATCGCTTTAGGAAGTATCCCAGATGGCATAACATGTACATAAAAAAAGATTCTGTGCAAGTCTCATCAATTTTTGATCAGTAATTTAAAGGCCCTGTCACACCATGCTGCGTTCACACGGAGTCGTTACGGCGTTGTTAAATTTTTAAAATCGCCGTGGAATCGCAGGAAAACCACAAATTTCTGTAAACTTTTCACAATATGAAGATGTCACGGCGTACCTACGGCGACGGACGCGGTTCTACGGCGATCTCACGGCGTTCTACTGCGTTCCCACGGAGATCTCTCGGCTATTGACTACGCTTCCGCGGAGTTTTTACGGCGCGTTAGGAGTTTTCACCTCGTGTTCACGGCGTTCTCACTGCTCACAATATGTTCACAATGCGCTCTATATACTCACTGATATATATTCAGAAGGAATGTAAAAAGTTACACGAAGAAAAGACTTCTAATCATGCCAAGAAATATTCTGTATAATTAAAAATGTTCTATTTAAATAATTTAGTACTAAATTATCAATAGTTTTATGATTAAACTCCTTTTTTGTCAATTTTATCGGTTCAGACGTGTTGTTAGATTTTCGTTGATTTTATTATGAGTGTAAAAAAAAAGAAACACACTGAAAAGTTTTCTACAAAATTTAAGTGAAACAACGGAACAAGTTCTGGTGTAATTTTCTCTTCCATTTTTTTCACTTAAATGCTCCTAGTGCAACAAATACGTTGGAATTATTGCTGATCAAATATGATCCCATTGCTCTTGTTTTGTGAGCTGGGAGCTGGCTGACAACGCTCTAACAGCGCCGTGAAAGCACATTGTGATCGCCATGGACGCGGTAGAAACGCCATGGGAGCGCAATGATCGCAGTGACAACTCCGGGCTGTCGCTGTGTAATCGCAGTCGAAAAAATCACGAGACGATAAATCTCATTAGAAGCGCCGTTAAAACGCGATACAAACGCAGAGATTCATCTCCAAGGACTCCGCGACATCTCCGTGAGGTCTCCGTGGAAGCACAGTATACTATCACTGCGTTCGTGCCGCGATCATGTGCGTCCTCACGGTGTTCGTGCGGAGTTCCCAGTACGTTGTTGGAGATCTCACCGCGCTTCTACGGCGATCTTACTACGTTTCTACTGCGTTCTTTTCAGACCGCGATCACACGGCGCGTACTTTGTGCATGCCCAAAGTGATCGCCGTCCCCTGGCGTTCTAGGAGGCCCTACGCGACCCTACGGCGTTCAGTGGAGATCTCGCCGCGTTGTCACGGCGCTGTAGGAGACTCTACTGCGATCACCTCGCCGTTTTGCATTTTTTGAGGACGCCATGCAGTCGTCGTGAGGATGCAGCCCCGGTGTGACAGGGGTTTAAGAGATAAGTCCTCTTAAATTATTCTAGCCAGGCCTTCAGATCGCTTTGATCTTACCGACATGTATAAAAAAAAAACAAGGTATGGAACTCCTACACGAGGGTACCCAACTTTGCTGAATAAAAAAATATTTAATCAAAAGACATAAAATTCTTTTTTCTTTTTGTTTAAATTCATAAATAAACAATCTACCTTATTACCAATTTTTATTCCGAAACTCCGTATACTTCCCGAGATATGCAGAGATGAAATAAAAAATTGACCTATTTTTTTTTACTCGACATTAGCTTGGGCCCCTGACCATGCACATGTGCACAGCCTAAGTTTGAACTGCAACAAATAATTGCGTCGTATGTACATTATGTAATAGTATTTTCAAGTAGAATTTTTTACCTTAGTTCGTAAATTTAAGTTTCTAAACTGTCCTTCCGACTAAAAATCTTCAAAAGCGTCTGCTTTTACAGCTCCGACTGCCATTTTGATAACCCCGAATGACGATTTCTAAAGAGGGCTACGATTGGTTAAAAATTTCCCGGAATTTATTGGACACCCTCTAGAGTTATCCCGTCTTTTCAACGAACAACACATCATGGATGGTCTATCAAAATCACAACAAACAGCATTAGATATAGTTTTAAACGGCCACAATATATTTATTGGCGGTCAAGCCGGTACCGGAAAGACGTACCTGGTGGGGCAAATCTATAGACTTTTGAAAGCTAAAGGGAAGAATGTCAGTTGTTCGTGCACGACGGGCATTGCTTGCTCAAACCTCCCTGACTGGACAAATGCTACTACAATACACAGTTGGGCTGGCATTGATGATGGAAGGCAAGTGTTTATTGTGTTACACTGATACAGTATACTCCAGTAGTTAAAAAAAAAAGAAAGTCAAGTTACTTTTGATAAAGGGAATTTGATTTTTTTTTTTAAATAAAAAGAAAAATACAATAAAACCATTATGAAAACTCAAAAGCTATAGTGGGAACGGGATATGATTTGGTGCATTTGTCCTGTAAATCTAAAAATTTCTACATGCATATAGTTAACTTTTTTCTTTTATTAAATATAGACATGACTTAACCAACATTCAATCCTGGATAAGAAGTCATAGAAAGGATGTCTATGAAAGAGTTTATAACACAGATGTACTTATTATAGATGAAATTTCCATGTTGTCAGAAAAACTCTTTGATCAAGTTGAAGCAGTTTGTTCACTTAAAAATGACAATCTTTTATTCGGTGGCATTCAAATTATACTCTGTGGGGATTTTTTTCAATTACCTCCAGTAAAGAATAAACTGTACATGGATGAAGGAAAATTCTGTTTTCAGAGTGAGAATTTTGCAAGATGTATAGTTCACAAAATTATTTTGAATGAGGTGATAAGACAGACTGACATACAATTCATTAAATGTGTGAATGAAGTGTCAAAAGGCATCATAACACCAGAATCATTTAATCTTCTAAACAGTCTTCAGAAACCTGTAGATAAACCAGGAGATTCATCTCTTAAGTTGTTTGCCACCAATGAATTAACAGATTCCTACAACAGGAACAGAGTTCTATCTGCACCAGGAACCCTCTTCAAATATCAGGCTGAGGACGAAGGGGATTCCAAGTACCTTCAAAGGATTCTTGCTCCTAGTACTCTTTGGATTAAAGTTGGTAGCCCCATTATGCTTCTTTGTAATTTGACTGATAAGCTAGTAAATGGACTTCAGGGCATAGTTGTGAGTGGCAGTGGCCCAGTGGTACATTTTCCATCAATAAATACAACAATGAAACTAGAAATGGAGACATTTTCAGGTAATTTAACTTTGTTTATGTAATCTTGGTCAAGTATTCAACAAATATAATATCACCTTATAAAATGTTAAGAAGGACTAAATTATGTAAAAAAAAATACTGTTTTAAGATTTTGTTTCAATTTTAACAGTTTACAGCCCTATTCTAAAGAGAAACATAGCAGAGAGGAAACAGATCCCAATCAAGTTGGCATATGCTATAACAGTCCACAAATCTCAAGGGATGACCATTGAAAGGTTTACATGCTATAAAAATATATCGAATGCTCAATTACACTTATTTTTGATCAAACTTTCTGTTGTAAACTTCTTGTTACACCCTCTGCTTGAAAAGCAGGATGTATATATAGTAATCAGTATGTCCATCCGTCCGTCTAGTTGTATGTCCATCCGTTATGCTTTGGGGACCCGTCTCTTATCCGCAGCTCCCCTCATACCACTGAATGAAGTCACCACAGGAGATCAAAGTTTAAATATGCAAGGAGATTATAAGAAGAATTCAATACATATCTTTTCCTCAAGAAAAAAGAGCTATGATCATGATTATAATTTTATAAATAAGCCACAGGCACAAACCTTAATGTTTATTGAATCATTACTTTTTAGCTCACCTGAGCCGAAGGCTCAAGTGAGCTTTTCTGATCCCATTTTGTCCGTCGTCCGTCTGTCTGTCCATCTGTAAACTTTTCACATTTTCGACTTCTTCTCAAGAACCACTGGGCCAATTTTGACCAAACTTGGTACAAAGCATCCTTGGGTGAAGGGGAATTTAAATTGTTAAAATGAAGGGACATATCCCCTCGCAAGGGGAGATAATCAAGAAAAGACAAAAATAGGGTTGGGTCATTAAAAAATCTTCTTCTCAAGAACCACTGGGCCAGTAAAGCTGAAACTTATGTGAAAGCATCCTGGGGTATTGTAGATTCTAAATTGTTCAAATCATGACCCCCAGAGAAAGGGCGGGGCCACAATGGGGAATCAAAGTTTTACATAGAAATATATAGGAAAAATCTTTGAAATATATAGGATCTTCTTCTTCAAGAACCACTAAGCCAAAAAGCTGAAACTTATGTGGAAGCATCCTGGTGTAGTGTAGATTCTATGGGGTATCAAAGTTTTACAGAATCTTCTTCTCAAGAACCACTGGGCCAGAAAAGCTGAAACTTATGTGGAAGCATCTTTACAAAGAAATATATAGGAAAAATCTTTGAAAATCTTCTTCTCAAGAACCACTGGGCCAAAAAAGTGAAGCTTATGTGGAAGCATTCTAAGGTGGGAAAAAGTTTTACATAGAAATATATAGGAAAAATCTTTGATCTTCTTCTCCGGAACCACTGGGCCAAAAAAGCTGAAACATATGTGCCCATGGAAGGATCATGGGGTAGTGTAGATTTCAAAATGTCTAAATTATGATCAGTGAGGAAGGGTGGGGATGCATTGTATATAACAAGGGGGAAATCTGGTAAAGAACAGAATGGTCAAAGCTTCTCAGGTTAGCGATGTGGCCCATGGGCCTCTTGTTAATATTATTAGCCCTGGAGTTTTCTTTTGATTTCTAAATTAAATTCAATATGCATTTAAAAATGACTACATCAAAAATACTTCAGTGACAAATTCTTGTGACAAATTACTAATATTGTATAGCTATCTGACTTTAATCCTACTTAGGATGATTATTTGTACAGTTATAAATAAAATTAATGTCTTCCATGTAAATAAATATTGTAGCAACTCACACTGCAGCTAGTGCAAAAAAATGTGTAGATATGATTATGCAGTTAATGTAATTTTTCTGCAACAGTTTCAACATGAATTCTCTTACTAAGAACCAAAGAGAAAACATTTTTTTTTAATCAGTCATAGCTAGATATATGCTTAAAATATAGAGTTGAAATTTTAATGAAATTTTAAAAAGGAAAATTTTTAAATTTGCTGATGAAAACTCAGCAAGTCAAGAGTGCCGGTAAAAAGTATTTGTGAAATAAGTAATGTTTCCTTCATTAATTTATTTTTTTAAAATATAAAAACAGATTGGATGTGGACTGCAGACAGATGTTTGCTGCTGGACAGCTTGGAGTTGCTATTGGTCGTGTGAAGTCCCCATCAGGATTAAGGGTCATCAACCTCTGTAAGGAAGCATGCATTCCTCAGCCTGACATCATATTTGATTTCATAAAAGTTCCTTCTAGAGAGACTTTTAAAGACATAAGTTGTTGTCATGTCTCTAGGTTTGTTCATTTACTTTTATTATATATATTTCATTAATAGCATATGATACAAAGAATCAGTTTAATTCATATTAGTCAGTTAATGTTATGAAAACACAATCTTTTGTCCAAATGAAATGGAAATTCAACTATTTGTACAGATTACCATTATAATCTAATAGCTTTGATCTTTGTTGGGGGGAGTTCGGATGTACTTTTTCTCTTCTTCTTTAGTGGACCATCCTTAGAATATGAATATGACTCAGCACCCTTGTCATTTAGAGCAGCATTGGCTTTTTTTGATATAGTTGATTGGCCAATAATAATACTATTCAAATTTTTCTGATATTGAAGAACTGTTGGGTTTGTGTTTGCCCCATTGTATGTTGCTCTTTGTTGACAAAAAGTGTTCTCAACAGCATCAGAGTTGATAAGAGAGGGATGTACAATGATCTGTACATTGTTACGTTTGAGAGCTGTTGAACATAACTGAATAAATCCAAGAATACATTGCTCGACATCATCATGACACTGATACGACATGAGGTTTTTTGTAGGCATTGCTTTGCGCCACTCTTGGAACCAGCTAAGCACTTCCTGGAGCTCTGTAATTCTTGAATCATTCACCATTGTAATTGGTCTTGTGTCTCTAAATATGCGGACCATTTTGGATGTTTGCTTGAGCAACTTGATAACACCATTAAGGGTTGATCCATTTTGAAGGGAAGCCTGATACCTTTCAAATAAATGAAGCATTTCAAAATTTAAGACATCTTCAGCTAAGTGATTTCGCATTTTGTTTTGTGTAGACAGATATATGTGCTCATGGGTGAGATATCGGTTTATCTGAAGAGCGTTGTTTTGATCCCATTCATAACAGTTAACAAACATGTCCCATTGAATACTTTCCCCACTAGCAAGGATAAGATTTCTAGTAGACCCTTTCTTCACACCACTTTTTATGATGTTATTTCGTATTTTTTTGGCAACATGGGAGTAATCCATCATAAAAATGACATTTTCTTCAAAATTACAGGGATTTCTAACACTCATGTTTAAGTTGTTCTTTATATTTATATTCACAAATGACCGGTTACTGCTAGCTCCATCCATGGATGTAAAAATACATGTAAACCCATACATTTGGAGTTGATCAACTGCATCCCAGAATATACTATGTAGATCACAGCCTTGAACACTGTCAGAAATGAAGTGTGCAAATGGAAATCTGAACCCAGTCATTCCAATAAACAGTAATTGCAGAGCATGCTTACCAAGTTTCTGTTCTTTCTTTCCTGTTCGTAGAGTGTCACAGATATTGCTTTCTTCTCCTTTATTAACAAAGCCAACAGCTTCTATCACATTACCATTTTTTTCTACTTGGATATCCTCCTGTACAGCCATTTCGTCAATTATAATGCCGCCATATCTTCCTTCTGGGGTAAGATGTAACCGCTCCGCTTCACAGTTCATCCATTTAAAAATTTCCCCATGAAACCCAGGTTTTTGTCGGACAGTATTTTTATACAGTATCAACAAAGATGAAGATGGTAATATGATAAGATGACTTTTGTATAAAGTTTCATATGCAAGAGGTGACCTGTTATATAGATCTAAGCAAACTGAAATGACTTCTTTGGGCCATCTTCTTCCTCTGGAATCTCTTTGAATATTTTGAGCTTGGGACTGTAAAAAAATTATCATTTTTTTAGGTGCACCTGGCATAAGCTTCTCTATATCATTTTGTCCAGAATTTTTTTCTTGAAGTAAAATTCTTTGAGATTGTCCTTTTTCAGAAAATGTCATTTTCTGACACGAGGCACAAGTAGATAATTTCCCTGTTAAGGTAACAACTTTTTTGCATGACAATGATCGCAATTTTCTAGTTCCCTTCTCACCAGGTTTGGAAAAAATTTCTGTAGTGTGAAATCGAGTGCAAATAACTGAACTATTTATTGTTACACCTTCACAAACTCTCAGTAAATTGCAAATATTCAAAATAACTTCAATTCCTTCCTTACTTTGAATATAATTTGTGTCTATTTTCATGAACCTCAGATCAATAGGTGTATTCCCAATGCTCACTGACCAAGTTCCATTTTTTTGTAAGCTAACACAAAGTTGTAACGGAAGTCCATTGATTTCATAGCCTGAGGATGACATAAAAACAATTTCTTCTGCACTTCTCTTTTTAAAACTAACAGTACTTGGTAACATTTGAATTAATTGGTCAAATTCAACAGTGTTTCCATTATCAGGGTCTTTATAACATAAGCCTTTTATTACTGTATACTTTTTACTATCTTTCTTCCTCCTGAAAAAAGTAGCACAAGGGTATAGGTATCTGATGTATTGTGAAAATTTCTCTTCACTTGTTGCACTCTCAATATTCTCAATGTTTTCAATGCTTTCAAATTTATATTTGGAGAAGGCTTCTTTAAGAATTATTTCTCCATCTTTGGCCTCTTTTACATGACTTATTAACCTGGAATGAAATAATTGCTAATATTAAAAGTAATTGAATAATTTATAATTTCTAAATGAGTTTTTAAAATTAAGGCTGTCTGCCCCCCCCCCCTTTTTTAAGCAATCCAAAGGCATGTGTCTAAATCCTATGGGGCCTTAAATCCTACAGCACAAAAAATACTAGCTGGACTTAAATGTTGTTCAAGTCATTTTAAGGTGTTTACATAGTATCTCACTTCTGCTATAGCTAATTAGAGTATATTAAACTTCCGTTGACCAGGTCCAGATGTTGCACCTTAAGGAAATAATGTATTAGTTATATGGATCACATTGGCTTGTAAATAAAATAGGATAGGGTAGGATCACTAGGATGTATTGCAGAAAATATAACATTTCCTATTTTACAAAGAGAACTAAATTTGTGATTTATTTTATTATCATTTCAGACATGCTTTCCAAAGAAATCAAGACTCTCAAGTGCCTATTATGCCTAATGTCAGGTTTGTTGATTCTGATTTTCAAGAGGATGAGGAGATGGATGACATTTTGGATATGCTGGAAGAGTCTATGAGTTCCAATGAAGACTTAAGAAACAATATACCCCCCGAGTTTAATATCTGTCAAACATTAGATAGTCTAAGATTCAAAAACCCTGTCAATGCTATACAAGAAGAAACTAACAATGCCATTGACCTTTTATATAGAAATCTGCAGGATGCCAAGGAATTTTGTTCTGCAATATTTACCATCACTTCTTCAATAATGAAGGATTTAAAGATAAATGAGAATGATCCCAAACCAGTGGCTGCAGATAAACTGGCCAAATTCTACAAGCACCATAAAGAATATCAGTCATCAAAAAGTTATTTTGCTCTTGTACAGTTGATGTTCTTTGAAGTTAACAGAACACAAGATGAAGCAATATCACAACAAGTTATGTCCCATATTGCTTTCAACTTGTCTGTCACAATAAGAAAGTTCCTTCTGAGTGAAAAAGAGAAGTTTTACAAGATTGGAGAAGGAAGTAAACAGAAGAGGGTTGTTATTGAGGAAAGTTATGGAAAGGTTAGATATGTTGGTGGTTACTGCATTGCTTCATTAAGATTCCATTACAGAAAGAACAGAAATATCCATTGCTTCAAAACTGGGTCTGTAAACCAACAAAAATACAATGAGGCTGTAAACAAACTGGAAATTTTAGATGGACTTAGTCTAAGTGAACTTTCTGTACAGCTTACAACAGAATTCCCAGAGTCACTTATTGAGACTGCATCAAGGCAATGTGCATCAAGAGGTCTTACAAATATATCTGATGCATTGTTCAAATTTTTCCTGTCTCTTTGTCAAAAATGTCTTCATTTATTAATTGACAAAAACATAAACTTGCATGCAGAGGCATTTTTTCAGCATTGCATATCATCTATAACAAATGATGTGAACATGTATAAAGAATTTGTTGATTGTGTACCAAAAAATCCTAAGGAAGAATTCATGTATAATGATGTTGAGCCATTAATGTCTGATTTGTTGTGCAAAGTTTGCTGTATTGAAGAAATATATGTGGAAATTGTGAAGAAATTTCTTATGGTTATGTTCAAACAATTTATGAAAGACTTTTTAAGATGTCAGGCTGTAGAGAAAAAGATGGCCCATCGAAAACAAATTCTAGTGTCAAAGAAGAAAAGTGCAGGTATTAAAGTGAACTTTGATTTCATTATGCAAGACACATCATCAGGAAAATCAGTTTCACACTCTCTTTTAAAATCAGACACAAATTTGCTGGAGAACATGAAGAAGACAGAATTGTCTCGCCTTTGCCCCGTCTACAGTTGTAAAACTAATGCAAGAGATAGTAAAAAAGATTTGATTGTTAAACTAAAATCTGCAATTAAGAAATCAGATAAGATGCTATTCTGTGAAAGACTTTCAGCAGAAAAGGAAAAGGTGCAGGTTGATGATACCCCTGGCCCAAGTAAAAAACTGCTGCTAGAGGAACGAGTGGATTTGAAATCCTCTGCTAGTGCTACGTCATGCTCAGTTTGTCAGAAAGTAGATGGTCACAAAGACTGGATTCATTGTGTTATTTGTGATACCTGGATACATAGAAACTGTGCTGGACTGAGTAATTATTTTAAGTGGAAATCTGCTTCTAAAAACTGTTCAAAGTTTTCCTGTCTGAACTGCAAAAACATTTAATATCAATTAACCATGTACATGTAGTTGAATTTGATTGAAATGGTGAATTCAGAAGCCGTGAGGGATCAAATTCTTAGGCCATTTTTGACTGAAATCAGCAAGGTTTTTTTTTTATTATTATTATTAGTAATTATGTATAAGTATAATCCTAATAAAACACTTGATATTACGACCTGCAAGAGAAATTGTCACATACAATTTTTATATGTCTCCAGTAGTAGTTTGGTACAAAAAAATCTTTTTATTAAATATAAGACATGGTAAAATCATTCATTATTTATTTCATGCCCATAGGAAGTTATTTTAATTTTGTGTATTTGTGTTTGGGGCCAAAGTAAACTTGACAAGCAAAAAAAAAAAAAAAAGAGTGTGTATGTTGGAGGGGGTGGGGTCATCAGTTGTTATTATTGTCTGTTCATAAAAAAATATTAACCCATAATAATATGATTCGTTCAGGACTATTATATAAAATATACTGACAATATTTTAGTGCCACTATCAGTTCCAATAGGTTTATTTATTATTAGTTTACTTGTTTACAGAAAAAAGGATTTTTTTAAGGATCTGTAGGGGTGAAATTTTTAATTTTAAACCCCATTTCCAATGCTGAAAAGCAGGGTTTTCCCCATTTCTGCTTAAAAAGTCCAAAAACAATGAACAAGTTTAAGTTTAAGCAATAGGTAAACCTTTTTTCATATTAAAAGCCAAAATGAGCATAACATTGTTTTGAAAGGGGGTGGAGAAAACATTTCAACTTACCTGAAAAAAAGGAGAAAAAGGAAATTTAAAAAAAAAATGGCCCAGACTCAAAAATCCTATTTATTTTTTTTTTTGTTTACATTTTTAGGGGGGAGGTTAGTGTCTTATTCTTTCAGTAGCAAATTTTATTCATACACTTGTACCCTTAGATACTGCAACGAAATTGGGGGGGGGGATCCTACATTATGTTAAAACATAGAAATCTATAAATATCCCTCCCATACCTTGATACCCTCATGCAGTCATGGCTTGTGTCCCAATGTACACCCCCTGCCCTAAACTAACTTCTAGATCTAGTAGCGTATTGGACATGATAGTATTATATTCCATTTAAAAAAGGAATCACATCGTCTTACCATGTAACCAGCAACATTTTTTATCTGTAAATTTTAATAATCTTTCCGCCAAATTATTATTTTCTTTACTCATATTGCACAGGATATATCATTGAAAAGACGGGATAACTCTAGAGGGTGTCCAATAAATTCCGGGAAATTTTTAACCAATCGTAGCCCTCTTTAGAAATCGTCATTCGGGGTTATCAAAATGGCAGTCGGAGCTGTAAAAGCAGACGCTTTTGAAGATTTTTAGTCGGAAGGACAGTTTAGAAACTTAAATTTACGAACTAAGGTAAAAAATTCTACTTGAAAATACTATTACATAATGTACATACGACGCAATTATTTGTTGCAGTTCAAACTTAGGCTGTGCACATGTGCATGGTCAGGGGCCCAAGCTAATGTCGAGTAAAAAAAAATAGGTCAATTTTTTATTTCATCTCTGCATATCTCGGGAAGTATACGGAGTTTCGGAATAAAAATTGGTAATAAGGTAGATTGTTTATTTATGAATTTAAACAAAAAGAAAAAAGAATTTTATTTTGATTAAATATTTTTTATTCAGTCTTTTGATTAAATATTTTTTTATTCAGCAAAGTTGGGTACCCTCGTGTAGGAGTTCCATACCTTGAAATTGTGAATTTTATGGCCCCAGGGTCAGGGGTTCTGGTGTAAGGGGGAGGGGATCTTTAGATTACATAGTGAAAATACTTGAATTCTTTGAAAATCTTCTTCTCTGCTCCTTGGTATTAAATAAACTAAATAAGTGCATAGTTATGATGAGCAAGAGTGTCTCTTCCAAAATTGTGAATTCTATGGCCCCAGGGTCAGGGGTTCTGGTGTAAGGGGGGGGGGGGGGCTCTATAGATTATATAGTGAAAATACATGAATTCTTTGAAAATCTTCTTCTCTGCTCCTTGGTATTAAATAAACTAAATAAGTGCATAGTTATGATGAGCAAGAGTGCCTCTACCAAAATTGTGAATTTTATGGCCCCAGGATCAGGGGTTCTGGTGTAAGGGGGGGGGGGGGGCTCTGTAGATTATATAATGAAAATACTTGAATTCTTTGAAAATCTTCTTCTCTGCCCCTGGATATTGAATTAACTAACTAAGTGCTTTGTTATGATGAGCAAAAGTGCTTCTACCAAAATTGTGAATTCGATGGCCCCAGGGTCAGGGGTTCTGGAGTAGGGGGGGGGGCTCTTTAGATTATATAGTGAAAATACATGAATTCTTTGAAAATCTTCTTCTCTGCGTCTGGGTATTAAATAAACTAAATAAGTGCATAATTATGATGAGCAAGAGTGCCTCTTCCAAAATTGTGAATTTTATGGCCCCAGGGTCAGGGATTCTAGTGATAAGGTGGGGCTTTATTGATTATACAATGAAAATACACTAAATCTTTGAAAGTTTTCTTCTCTGCTCCTTGGTATTAAGCAGATGAACAACCTATGTAGTTATGATGAGTAAGGGTCCTAATCTTCCAGAATTGTGAATTTCAAGGCCCCAGGGTCAAGGGTACCATAAAGGAGGGGGGCTGTACTTATATACTGAAACTGGATGAATTGTTTGAAATCTGCTCCTTGGTATTTATCAAATATTTTTGAAAAGCAAGGGTGCCTTTTCAAAAATTGTGCAATGTGTGCATCTAGGCCTAAGGGTCAGGGGTTCATGTGTGATTGGGGCATTACTGATCATGCTGAATATTACTGATTACTTGAAATGCAGTTTTTGTTCCCCTACCCTGCCTATGGGTATTAAGTAAACAAACTAAGCAACTGCTAAGTGTATTGTTATGATGACCAATGGTGCCTATTTCAAAACTGTGAATGCCATAGCATCTGGATTAAAACATGAATCAAATTCAATCACTGGAAAGTTGTTGCATAATGCTCAGGTGACCTATAAGGCCCATGGGCCTCTTGTTTTTATACATGTCGGTAAGATCAAAGCGATCTGAAGGCCTGTGGTCTCACCCCATTGCCAGCTACCCGGTAGATATAACATGTATTATTCAGCTGGTAACATATTAATAAGTAATAAATTTTAACAAAACTTCATCTTATAATATCAGTTCATTTGATGAAGTCCTTTTAAATAAAAGATCATACTGGAGCAGTCGAGAAGCAGAGCACTTAAGTTCACTGTGTTGGATCAGTTTGATAGTACCTTTGAAACTTTTTATTCAGTCGAGCCTCAAATGAGGCATAAGAGTACAAACATAATACAATTTTCAATATAAAACTGGTCAACAAAAATAGGAACAAACATATAAATGTATATATGTACAGTCTAAAATAAAAATATTAATAAAAATTTGCTGAAATAAGCACGTTTTAAAAATGTCATATTTACTGTATATAAAAAGTCCTCTTTTTATATACAGTAAATATGGCATTTTTAAAACGTGCTAATTTCAGCAATATTGTTTTTATTTTAATGAGAGTATTCAGACACACCTAGAAAAACACATAATAACATAAAATACACCATCCTGAAATCAAGCTCCTATGATTTTAAGCCAGCGGCCATTGCCAACACTTGGATGTGAAACCTAGAATTCGATCCTAAGGATGACATAATTTATACGTCTTCAGCTCAACATTCAAAAAGGCCTTTTATAGAAATAACTTCGAAAAAAAACCCACTCAAATTGAAAAAGTCGGAGCATCGTCGCAAACCGATTGCTTCGGTTGGCGTGATATTTTAATTGTCACGTTTCAGTGACGTCACAATCAAATTTGCATGGCGGTCCGGTTTGTATGCTTTGAAGTTTATCGAAGAGTCTTTTTGATCGTAAGGACATTTTACTTTGATTGCTTGTTTATTGAGGAGAGTCATACACATCAATTTTCTTACTTCTCTCTGTTTGAATATTTATTCGATGCAATTTGATTATACCTAATGAAAGCTTATTCATTATGAGGCACAGTGCATAATCCGAATTTCCTCGTTGGCATTGGTTACGTAAGAATTCTTAATTTTTAAAGTATAGATTAATTTTAAATTGTATATTTTTAAAACACTATAATAGTTTATAGTGTATATATAGGGGAAATCAATGTAAATAATGTGTGTTGTACTAGGTATATAGATAGTTTTCGATGGGCCTGAATTTAGCAAGCGTTACTTCCCGTTGGCAGCCATACTGGAAGTCCAAATTAGGAATCATTATTTTTCTGAAGTATATAAATTTTTGGAAGCCTCCTTTATTTAAAAAAATTTATTTAATAAAGATTTTCCACCAAATATTTCTGCTATAATATTTTCTTAAACTTGGTAAGACAAAAAGGAAAACTCGCCGAAAATCGACCTCCAATATGGCGGCCAACGGGAGATAACTTTTGCTAAATTTAGGCCCATCGAAAACTATCTATTCTAAAACCACATGTAATGATGTACAGAGTTTGGTTAAAGCATATTTTAACAATCAGATAACCCCGTAATATTGTACTCTGTGTCACATCCTACATCCAGCAAGTTTCTACAAGTGCTCCACTAATATATATATAATGTATCCTATAGGTATAGATCTATTCTGTTTTTGGTTTTTTTCTTTTCTTTTTTTTCTCTTCTTCTTTTTTTGGCTTAAAAATCATAAATACTCCAAAGGTTTATATATATATATAATTAATGTTTGTTCGATTGCACATAAACTCCACAACACTTGTTATCTTGACTGCTAAATTTCAATGAAAACTTATCAGCCTCTTGAACACACCCGGGTCACCTGTTTGTTGCTCTAGTTAAATTAATGGCCAGTAAAATAAGATTTATCTGTTTTACATGTGGTGACATTTACTGATTGTTCACCTATTTCTTTTAAGACTTCTGGATAATTGGAAAGAAAAAATGGATGGTATTTAGTATTTTTTGGGAAATTATTCTTATTCAGAGGTATTGGTAGCTAGCTATTTTCATGATACATTAAAATTTTTAAATGTCATTATTAAAGTAGAATCAACATTAAAATTCAATGGTTTATTTTGATTTTTATTGATGATGGAATTTAAACACAGAAGTTAATTCAAGTTATTAAATTTATGAATTTGTAACTATTCATTCTGCAATTTATCCAAACAATGTTAATATTTTAGTAAGTAAAAAACAAGACTCTTATACTTCAAAGTCATCTTCTACAAATTTCATGTAAGTATAGGTATGTATTTGTGCATACTATAATTTCACAAAATCCAATTCAAATACAGATATGTTAGCATAGTTTCTGAATACTGAAATTTCAATTTATTTATGTAGAACTGTTTTTCAAACCCTCTAAAATTGATAAACTGTACGAAATAAGCACTCTACAGCAATTTTCTTCAAGATACAGGTTATTTATAACTACCTCATAACACCTCTTTACATTTGCATCCTTTTTAGAATTGAAAGGGGGAGGGGGGTCTCAGTCACTCTTTTTTCAAACAAAACAGATTACTATTGATAAAGTCCATTAAAAGGATAGTCCCCCTCCACTTATTGTTGCCTGGTTTTATCATGGTGATTGAGTAATCTATATAAAAAAAATATATAAGTGCAATTTTACATGTAATGTACTTAGTGTAATCTTAAAATATTCAGTTTTTTTAAAATCATATTTCAGTACATTAGACTACAGACCTGAAATTAATATCCACATGTTGATTTATAAGTTGTGACACGTCTTTTTATTGAATTTTGAAAAACTCAGTTTTATTTTTATTTGCCTCATCATTCAAAAATAAATGGAGAAATAAAGTGAAGGTATAACTGAAAGATATATAAAAAGAAATGACTGACTTTTGATAACTATCTGAATAATGATATTTACACAAAAACTATTTTAAATACCTTTATTCATTTTAATCATCATGAATTTCCTTTTTGGATTGAAAATGTTCTTTTATTGTTGTCATAAATTTTTTGAGTTCTGTAAAACTTTCAATTTTAAAGTTTTATGATCTGTTTGCAATTATAATTCAGCACTCTTCTATAAAATGCGTCATATATTAAATTTTAGTTCCGTGAACTGCTTACTGGGTACTTATTCATTTAATTGAATGTTTTCTGAACATCCTTTTGCAAACATTTATGAAAGGTTTTTAATACCTTTAAATAGAGCACCAATTTATACAAAGAGCTTAAATACTTATATGTATAATATCTGTCAGTTTTATTCATTTAACCCTGTTTTTCTTGTTCACCGAGATGCGTCATTTTAAGAACTCTTAAAGAGTCACTGGTTTTTCTTATAAATAATGTCAGTGACTGGACAATGGGGTATTCCTGATCATGGACAATATCTGATTTGTTTATCCCTTGTTGGAAATTCTAAATGAAGTCAGTTGATTAAATAGCAGCATTGTTTCATCCAGTGTGTACTTAGAGTACGGTGGATACTCAATATTTACCAATACCCTATACAGTCTGATTCAGAACTTTACATAATCGTATTTATTTTACTTTCAGGTCAACAAAGATTAAACGTCAAAACAGAATTCTGTTTCTAGAACTGCTAAATATAAATTTGATAACAATTGGTCTTTCCGCCTATAGGTATTAAATCTCCTTTGAAAGTGTTTGATTGACACCTGTTACCCGCCATATATACCTGGCCAGGTAAACGATTGGATAAATTGTGCTCCTTGATCAATTACTTGATGTTACATTTTCCTAGTGCTGTTTAATATTAACCATAATGCCGCCTACTGCTGAATCTGTGCTACTGCAAAGAAGACCGGTGTCAGGGCAGAATAGGATAACCTCACAGTTTCTGCCCCATGCCCCCCCTTCAGACCGTCCCTCCAGTTCTCATTACAACCGGTGTCTGAAGAGAGATACAGTAAAAATGCGTATGAAGATGAGTGAGGACTCAGAAGGAGAACTTGTCAATGGTTCCGATTTGGATGTGAGATTCCAGTTTTTCTACAAAGAACCCTGTCTCTACAGCCATCAGACCTACAATAATGCCAGCAAAATTTTCTCGACTCTGAGACATGAGAGTCTGGAAGAAAGAGAGAACCCATATCTCAAAAAGAGGAATAAGGTTGCTCTATCAGAGAGGGAGATACCCCAACTTCACTTCTCAAATGACCAGGACAAAAGACTGGCCTTTGAACTGGCATTTTCCACCCTCAAATGTAAGTAATTTTTTTTTAAATGTTTTTTTTTTTTAAATTAGAAGAAAGTCCTTTAATAAGTTATATCCAATTATCCATATTTTTAAGAAAAAACAATTCAACACTGTTGCCCTTTGGTCAAATTGATCAAATGAAAGAATTGTCCTTTCTGCTTTTTTTGTCACCCTTCAATTATAAATTGGAATAGTTTGGGGCATATAATTTTATATAATTTTATTTCAGCTGTTTGATATTTCTTATTCCTTGATCATCTGTTTATCTTTTCCATGGCAAACTGCCTCAATTTTGAAATTTAATTAATCAAAAATGCTGAGTAAAGTTTATGGAGTTCATTTGAATTTGTTCAATTAATTACTCATCCCATGATTCATTAATAAGTAATATTTAATAAGTGCAAGAATTAATCTTGAATTAAATCCTTATACCAGCAATGGTACAAGCTGCCATTGAGACAGCGTATTATTTGAGTGTAGCACAGATTATGAATAAAATACACAGTTTAACTTATATTACAATTAAAGGCTCAGGGGACTGATAACAAATACGGTATTAGGATACACTAAATCCACTTTTATTAGGTTTAGGCCCCCGCGCTTTCTAATATGATTCAGTAAGGAGCTTTATCTGACCAGAAAGTAGACCAGGGGAAAGCTTTTATTGAACTGATTACAATATTCAGAATGAAAAATGACATAAAATGAAACTGTTTTGAATTTACAGTCTGATGTTTTCAATGATCAGTTTTAAAAGAGTTTTCTTATTGAACAATATTTTGTGTCAATAAAAAATATAAATGTCTTAAAAGTGTTTACATTAATCAGTTTTTATTTAACTTTTAAAAATATTTTATTTATCCAATTATTTGAACCGTTAAGAACATGAATCTGGCAGAGATACCATCAACATTTTACAGAAAACCCTTTCCTTCAACTATCTGTATGAACTGAGATAGATAATTTGACATGAATGACGATATTCAAGTATAATTGTAAGAATGTTTTCTCCTGCATGGAAGTTTCAAAAGAGTGATTGTTGGAATGTCTGAATTACTTAATGACATATTGAATGTTTGAAAACCTGTATACAACTTAAATATACAACATGTACAAATGGTAAATGAATCAGAAAATTGGAAATCTATAACCATTGAGTGTTATCTATTTGAAGGAGTAGGGAATAGATTGAGTTAAAATTTCAGTATACATAAAGCATGTCAATTATTACAACATTTTGTTATTTTATAATCCTTCAATAAGTTCAAAACTTTTCAGTTTCTTTTCAGTTCATTTAGGCCTATAACCTAGCTAATTTCACAGAATGTTTGAACTGAGGTCATTTTAAGAATTCATGAAAACATTGATGAATTTGGCATTCTGACTGTGCTGCTCACCTTAGAATTATATGTATAGTCATGAAGCCTAGTTTAATGCTCTACCCATAACAATATAGCTTTGTTCTTTGATCATCCTTAGGACCTATCAAACATGTATAAAAAATGAACTTTTGTTTAGATCTTGAGAAAGTCATTGTTTGATGCTTACAAATGGCTCCAGGGACAGCCTGATAGTCCTCTGTGAGCTCTATACTATCTACCGTGAGACATGTTCCACTCTTTCTGACTCGGGTCTCATTAGACACATTTTTAACAGAATTTTTATGCCTTCGTCATTGATTTTCATCCACGTCTGTTTTTCCTCTCAATATCAGAGGGATTAATTCTGGTCTCTGCTAGAATTGTGTGCAAAAATTAGCGATATACCGGTAGTTTGGATTTATCTTTTGATGTTGTATTGAATTACTTAAAAATATTGAATTTCATGGTATAGTGGGTCTTATGCATCAAAATTATATTATGAATAAACATACTGATATTGAAACTATATTTTTCTGATATAATTATACTGATATATCTATACTATATGTAATCAAGAACTGATTTAATGTACATACTTTACTAGATGGTATAACTATAGACATTTAAAAGTGTAATACCATTTTATTTCAAGAAAAGTGACAGCTGATGATAAAATACTTGAGACTGTTTGGAAAGACTTAAGAGAACAATGTAATTCGGATGTTTACATGACAGGGTCTTGTAGTCATGGTAATAGATGAAACATTGTAATCTTAACAGGTGACGTCATTGGTTGTTCCAAACTGGACAACACAAAGCATCACCTGTTCTAGTGGACGCGGTGTCAAGAAACTTGTATTGAACACTGTTGTTTACTGTTAATTGAAATAAGGGGCTTGTTTATTTACAATGTGGGTTTTAATAAAAACCGAGTGCTTTACCCCAATGCACGATCAGACTTATCATTTTACGGTCAATCACCAGATTAACTGTTGGTCCTGCACACCCTTGTGTTTGGACCTGTATTTGCAACTTATCAAACATTTAAATTTTACAGAAGCCAAATATTTGGCACTGTGATTGATCTCTAAGAAAACTTTGATCCCTCTCGGATTAATAAGAAGTGATCTTTATGCAGACCTTACATATTCAGAACTGATCAACTTCCATCAAAATTCCACAAGATGGGAGTCCTGTCTCAGAGAGTTTGGGTATCTGAAATCATTATACACCTCAGTGTCACCAGTTGACTTGGACTTTTATGAGAGTTTGAAGCAAAGGCTTTGATAACATGACGCAGAATAAAACAAGTGCTTGAGATTATCTCCTTAGTTCAACAAATGGGTATAATGGTCAAGAATGCCAACACATTAATATATTCAAATCTTTATATGGAGAAAAAGTCTGTATTCTGCTTTGTCCACAGCAAAATAAATCGGACAAAATTGAAGGAATATAATTTGAAAATTAAAAAAAAAATAAAAGAGGTAGATCTTACTTATTAATAAGAATCTTTTTTACATCCCTCCTTTCAAACTGTTTTGGTCAAATAGAAATAACAATGAAATAAAAGGTTTTTTTTTAGTTTGAGTTAGATATCAGAGTCCACAAAGAAAAGAATTTAATTAAATTTTATCAATCATATTTTCTTTCCTTTTCTTATCCTGTAGAGCCATTGTTATATTTATCGATGCAAAACCAAAAAAATGTTCTCCCATATCTTGACAAAGCAACTTTTGAATGGTGGAAGATATAAAGTTTGCTGGACACAAATTTATAATGTGTGTAATCCTCAGAGGCATTTTTATATGATCACTGTTAAAATGTTGAGTTCAAGACAGTCATGATATAAAGACCCCTTCAGAAAAAAGGGGATCAGCTGCCAAATTCCCCACCAACCGCTCATGATAGTGTTCCTTCTTATTCAGCAGTGACAAAAAGTCAACTGAAAGAGTGCAGTGCAAAAGAAGATGGCCCATGGTTGGGTCAGCCTGTTAATACTGTATACAGGGTTATTTTCCCCCTGTCTTATTTTCACCCTTTTAATTTGTAATTTTGAAATGCAGGGAAAGTTCAACTAAATGCTCCTGATCACAAGTAATAAACTGCACAAGCTGATGTTTTTGAATAATGTTAATGTTTTTTTTTAATTTCTATTTTAAATAATTAATTTTTTATTCACTGTAATATTTTGTGGGAAACAATATCCTGTCATGGTTAATGTAAAAACTTGTACCTGCCCACTTTCTTATGAAGTGAATATTTCACTTTGGATATTATATAAATGATTTAGCTTACGTTATAATTCTGTTTTACAGATCAGCTGTTGTTTGAAGAGATACTGCAGGACTGTGCTTTCTTCTCCTCCTACCCAGAGGTAAGACTTCATCCATACACATCCACTTACAGTCAAACCTTATTATCCAGGACTGTGCTTTCTTCTCCTCCTACCCAGAGGTAAGGCTTCATCCATACACAACCACTTACAGTCAAACCTTATTATCCAGGACTGTGCTTTCTTCTCCTCCTACCCAGAGGTAAGGCTTCATTCATACACAACCACTTACAGTCAAACCTTATTATCTAGAACTCAGACCAGATATCCAAGGATTTGAGATATCAAGGGTAAAAAAAAAAGAATGTAAAAGTGACTAATGTATTGAATGTTTTTTGTGAGTATTTTTTGGTACATAACAGTACATCCAGTACATGTACATGAATGTTAACATAATTAATGCACACCTAATTGAGTTATAACTTACTAGTTTATCCAAACTGATTTATAATCTGCCATTCCCACTCTAAATATGCAAGGTAATTTGATTGCATTAGAAAATTATTGACAAACTTAATGTCTAAATGCCTGGGGATTCTAAATAATAATGGTACTGCTAAAAAGCTAACAAAGGTTAATGTGGTGTGTAAATGGAGAACCTTGTAAAACAGTATTAGGGGAGGTGTTTTAATAGAAAACTTGTTTGAACATTTGTAATAATAATAGTGTTTCCCAATATGATAAAGATCGAGAGTTGGTGTAGCAAAAGGGGCCAAAAATTAAGCAGAGTGTTTCTAACTGTTAGGAAGCAATCAATTCTATTTTTAATTTGGACACATTCAATGAATGTCATTTGAAATGGAATTAATCAATACCAAGTTAATGAATGTTACAATCGTTAACAGATTTCAAAAGAACTTAAAAAATATCAATGTGACACCACATGAAAAGTAAAATCAATTTTTAACTTTAATAATACAATACACAACCTTGGTTGATAAGAGAAAAACCATTACTAAATGGTGTTTTTCTTGCTGCACCAGGCAGATATCTCATTACTGGCCCTAAAGCCAGAAAGAGAGAGATGTAAAAATAGTATGATTACAAAGTCAGGGATCTGAAATGCCTGGTGAAAAATGCGATATTGAACATGATTTTCATAGCAACCCTTCTGTAGATATTTGAGGTATTATGATTTGACTGATATAAAGGAGAGATCAATGAACAGTGGTGGAAATATCAAGGAGGACTCTGTTATCATTGTCCTGTTATAGAGGCCTCGACTTCAGGGCATTTACACACATCAAAACAAGTATCAATACTGCATTTATCATGCAAGTTTTCAATTTTATTATATTGGGAAGTTTGCATAATCTTTCTTCAGATGTCAGTGTGAACAATAATTTACCTTGATTTCAATAAGGAACAAACATCTCAAATAAAATTTTACACAAGAAGATTATCGCTGATCGTAAAGTTAGGAAAAGGGTATATGTAGCCATTCTTCTTAACCCTTGACATTATATACATACTTAAGACTAGCCTCATTATTCATAGGCATGAAACTCAGGCTACTAAATATTTATATAAAGGTGTTACTATTTACAGTTTGTGGAGGACAGTGGCCTTGTGATGGTGATGTTGTGTGATTTTCAAGGTCGAAAATTTCAACAGAGAACCCCCCTTCCCGGAGAAACAACCCTTCCTGACCTCCTAGATATAGAACAGGCCATTCTGGAATGTAAGACCCACCTAAATGCTGCACTGGCCCGACACAGAATTAAGGCTGAGGCCCCCTCCCTGGACCATCTCCTCCCAGACACAGTGAGGAGCAAGGAGGAGTTGAGGACCACAATGCCAGTGTATGGCTGGGTCAACCACAGGAGATCAAAGTAAGCCAGACTGATCTACAAGTCTTGTTCTCCAAGTTTAATTGGCATTTAAATGGTCAATGGTCATTTAACAGGACCAGTTAGAACTCAAGCCATTAAAATGTTTTGTCCTGCAGAGTCTTGGATATTGGATATTGATTTTAAGAAAAATTTCAAATCATATTTTGATTAAAAATAGATTTTTTTCCTGCTGACCCTTTTAAAACAGCACTGTTGTTCTTGTTTCATTGTATGTATAAACTTTTATATTCACAAGGATTAAACTTTATATAGTAGCTTCAAATGTCAATATTTTTATAATTTGATCTTTACTTTGAAGGCTTTCCTAATATTTGACCAGAGAAAAGTGGCTTAGGGTGTTCATTTGCAATGTAAATTGAAATCTCAAGTTTCTTATAATACTTTCAACACATAAAGGTCTTACCAAGTTTTCAACATCTGAACCTCTTATGGATTATTCTGTTTGCTGTAACAATGAACTGATCACAGAAACGTCATGGACAGGCATCACAGAATTGTTCAATATCTTACACATGCAAATTTAATAAGTAAAATATCACAAAAAGACAAACATGAATCAGTTCATAAATTATTGTATTGTTTAAATTCCTACAAATTACTTTACATTTTTAAAAAATTTCTAATATTCAATATTTCATCATCAAAACGAAAAGACATTTATTACAAAAGAGATTCTTTTGTATTTCAGTATGTCTGAGGTGCTAGATGCCTTAAAAGATGACCGCTACAGACTTGTCAGTTCTGATGAGGCCCTGGAGGGGAAGATGTTCTGTGTGGACTCCCTGTGTCACGATGTACTGATGTTCTCACCAGAGTGTGCCAACGACCTGGTCCAGAATTACCTTGTAACCACTGGAAAGTTAGTCCTACAGGTACACAAAGAACAGTCATCCAAAACTCCATCATTATAAGTACACAACTGATCTTTTCTTTTGTATGGCAAATGTAGCTGGGGGAAGTTTGATTTGGCAGATAATTAAATAACATCTCTTTAACAACATCTTTTATGTCATATTTCACCAGACAATTAATTTACCCAATGAACCCATTGTCTTTCAGGATAAGTCTAGCAGTATTGCCCCCCACTCAGTGAAGTACCTGGTTGGGGAGGATGCAGACATAATTCATGTCAATGTCGGATCTGGAATGACCACTGCTCACATTGCCAGTCTGTTAGAGGCAGACAACCATAGCCATATATGGGCATTCGGTGCTAAAAACCCCACAGAGGTCAGGGGCAATATGGAGAAACTTGGGGTTAAAGGTCAGCATCATTTATTTCTGTTTAAACAATGGAGTCCTTGTACAGAATACATGTATATAAATAGTTTGTAGTATACAAATATTTTTGTTAAATCTCAATTACCGTATAATCCCTATTAACCGCCCCTGCCCCTTTAAGCGCCCCTAGGTCTTCTTTCAATTATCAGAAAATAAGGGCTCTCTGTACAGTGATTAAAATCATCTAGAATCGTATCAAAAGTCTGCCAAAATTTAAAAAAAATGATAATGTAACTTGCCTATTATCCAATTTTTCGGTGGAAATTGAATCATAGAGCATAATTTGGGTGGGTTATCTTCACTTAAAGTAAAGTTATACATTGTTTTAGTGGTTCTTTAAAATTTTTGAAGTTAAAAAATGACATTAAATATGATGAAGAAAATTACAAAATAACCACCCCCTCTTTGCAATTTTCTAAGTGCTGGGGGCGGTTAATAGGGATTATGCGGTATATGAATAGAGTAAAATATGCCTAATCTGGGCCTCACTGTTTAAAATTCAAATAAATTGTATTTGTGAAGAACATTTTGGATGGTTTAAATTCCCTTCCTTTTTTGGTACAATCAAAAGAATATATTTTGTACCCAGATATTTAACCCCTTCCTCCATGAAAACAAAACTATATTGATTTTATTGGCATACAAAACATTCAGATTTTGAGATCTTTGTTTATTTATCATTAAATTTAAAAATTTCGTGAACCAAAAAAAAAAAAAAAAAAATCAATACCCCCAGCAAGAGGAACATTGTATATTCCCACTGAAGAATAGATGTAAGGTTAATAATTAATTAACTTTTTTCTGCCCTGACTTCTTTAAGGTTGTAATGACCCTTCATCAGTAACGCTGTGTGTTTGCTTAATTAGTTGATTTTTATCATGGGAGCCAGAAAAAGCCTCCCATTTGATAGTTACGTAAATAGTGAATCTATTATTGTGTTAGTGCACACATGGTCTGGCTGTCCAGGTAACACACTAGACACTGTGATAAACAGGAGAAAAATCAAAGAGCTCCATCCTTGCCCCCTTATCAGCTGTTCTGGTCCTAATTGATTGTCAGGTTTATGAGCCAGCAGAGACAAATGCACATGATTGATCATGTAATTGCCCACCTAATTGGTAGTGAGAATCAGAATTACATATATCACTCAATGATGTCAATAGGGGTATTGGAGAAGACATTAACTGCTAATGTCAGATGGATCAGTTCACACTTTGTTCCCAGCTTTTGGTCTTGTCTAAGACATCCTGCTCCTGAGCAATTTTGGATAGTTCATCTACATATAATTGACTGTGATGAATGTCCATGTTTAGTGCTATATGGCTGACCTTTAACTCGTAAATTATCTCCTCAAAGCCACTATTGACAAAACACTTGAATTTTCAATAAATTATCTTTCAAGTTGTTGAGAATTGAAGATGTGTAATTTTCTGGTTAACACAGTATAAAATAAGTTTATTCCCCCTGCTGTAAATCAATTACATCAATTTCTGTTTACTCATGGGCCTGCAATAACTTCTCTAACCATTATAAAAGCTTCTCATTCTGTGCTTACACAATGTTGGGTCTTTGTGAAAAAGGTGCAGAGAAATAAGATAGGTGTTCTTGATCATGAATTTTGTTTTAAAATATTTTAGCAATTTATTACTGATTTGAGCAAATGTTTAGAATATGATATATGCCAGAGTACAAGACTTAAATGCTGAATATTGTGCATATAAGACATACAACTGTACAACAAAACCTAAGTTTACAGGCATGCAATTTTTCTTCCTCTTATTGTACAGATTAATAAAAGTTAAAGATTTGCAAAAGAAGGTTATTTTGTGGCATTTATTTGGATGGAGTAAACAAAAGTACAAACCAACTGAAAATTCTACTGCAATTTGTATAAGTCTGATAGATCTAAATAAATTCAACACAGGAATCTATTCATTTGCCTTGCATTATCTGTTTGCCAAGAATTATTTTCCCACCCAATATAATGGAACCAATTCCATGTCAACAGGAAAACAAACAAGAATTTATTTCATAAGAAGTATATAAAAGTATATGTACATAATTTCACTTTGTATCCAAACAGTAATTTGTAAAAATAAATTCAAAACTTTGCTATAAAATTATTATTGCTCAATAATATATTGATATATAATCATATCAGAAACAGAGATCACAGTTTTTGAAAAAAAAAAAATCAAATGCTGCACATAAAATAACTTTTATTTATGAGAACATTATTTTTTGTGTAATTACCCAAGACTGTCTGCTCACTAAAATTTCTTCTGTATGTATAAATTTACTAGCTTCCATAAACAGAATTTATAACCAGAATGTTTTAAAACTTTGTACTGTATAAATGTACCAAATACTAGTACCTATAGCTTTCTCACCAAAAAATGCGGTGATCAACATAAATTACTGGTATATTATGTCTTTAATTTGGTAATAGTACTCATATAGTGTCCGTAGAATTGATTGTATCAGTTTTGTAAATTAAATTAACAGTTTGGGAGTTCATATAATACTTTCAATATATTCATACATGTACCTTTTATAGGTGTTAAAGTAATGACAGAAAACTTCCTGGATATAGAACCTGATGACAACAGATTTAAGAATGCTAAAGTCATTCTCATCACCGCTGACTGCAGTAAATCAGGCATTGCAAACCCTATAGACTTTATTGTCAATGAGGGGGAAGGTATGTACAGTATATTACATGGATTTTATAATACATTATTGGGGGAAAATACTGAGAATAACGCTGTAGTGATTTTTTTTTTAAGATGACAGTGTTAACTTGTTTCTCTTTTGCAGATATGAAAATTTTGAAGGATTTGTCTATTGGAGATACAGGCCTCAGCAAACTGGGAGATCTGACAGCAAAACATACAGAGCTTCTAAAACATGCCCTAAAATGTAAGTATACAACTGTTTCTCATTTCTTAGAATTCTGTGATGCATTGAAAGGAAAACCATCCTTTCTCGAAAATAATTATCAGAAGTTGATATATATTGTTAATGTAAACAAAAATTTTATTTTCAGTTTCAAAGGTACAAGCAGTAGTGTACACCACCCGCTCCGTTCATGACGTGGAGAATGAAAATGTTGTATCCAAGGCTGTGGAGTATATTAATTTGGTCCAGCAGAGAAAATACCCATACAGAGTTGTCCCCCCTGTTATACCCTTCTCTAGTGAAGCAATAGACAATAAAATAGGAATTCATGGGAAGTTTATTAAATTTCGCCCAACAGAGAAAACAAGTGGCTGCTTCATTGCTGTAGTAACCAGAGAGGTATGTAATGATTACAGTTGATGAAAGCAAAAATTTTTTATTTATTTGAAATTTATGCAATATCTAAAATGACCATTACTTTTAGCTTAAAGATGTATATTTTGTTCAACAGCCTGAAGATTCTAAGGAAGCAGCCAAAGATGTTCTTGCCAGAGCTCAAGCTAAAGGACTACTAAGTGGTAAGAAACGAAACAAGACGCAAGTGATGGAGGGAGGCCAGGAGAATGGGGAAGCTAGTAACCTTGTTAACGGACACACAAAGTCAGAGAAACTTCTGACAAGGCGCTCCAGGAGATCAGAACAGAAGCTCCCCCCTCGCAGTGCTGTGTCCGCCCCTCATGCTACAAGTCCTATCCATAATTACATTCACTCCCCCCTCCAGGCACGCCGGAGTGTGCCCCGCCCCAGTGGGGTTGCCGTGGGGACACGACTTTATAAGGATGCCTCCAAACGAGAGCCCTCAGTAAGGAGAGATAAGGTGCTTGTTGCAGAGCACCTAAAAATCGTCAAACATCCAGCCCCGTTCAGGTGAATAATTTTGTGTTGGATGGTGTTTAAGTTGTTGTCTAACAGAAATTACAAAATCACAGTCTGCTTTTATGTGCATGAACTTTGCAATTGTCATGTTTAAGTTTATATGTAAATGTTATGTACTTGTCTTGGCCATAAAAAGGCCTAAAGTTTATGTATCAAGTCACTGAATGAATTCCTTATTTCTGTTACATGGGTAAATAAAAAACATGGGGTATAAAAATATTTTTGCAATAATTGTGAACTAGTCAGTATTATGATATTTCTACCTGTTATATGGTGCTATTGGGTACATTCAGCAGTCACCAGTTTTTATGTTACTGTCTCACTGTTTTACTTCAAAATGTGTGTCTTTGATTAAAGATTGTGAAGTCTAATGGTATTTTTGTTTCACAAAGATGCACAATTTATTTCATGTGTAATAACTTATTTGTGCTAAATCTGTTTTCACAATGTTCACTAATTAATTTTGTGATTTTCACAGCAAAAGTAACAAGCATGGTCAGGTAATAAAATAATATTGTGCATGAAAACAAAAGCTGCATTGTTAATTAAGCTTTTTAAAATGGCTTGCAACTGATAATGTACCTTTGTATAAAGATCTGTCATATTTGTAAAATACATTGTCTTTGATTATGAACTATGTTATATCTTTTTAATTTTAAATTCTGGAAGCATTACATCAGTGCTGCACTCCTTGCACTTTGAACTGTCTGCTTTCAGTATTCATGAAGCTTTCCATTCTTTGCCTTACAATACTTGATTAATGATTATATTACTGAATTTTACAATTTTATTGATTTTTTGTCAGTTTGAAAATTGAAATGCATTTTTAAAATAATTTTTCCTTTCACAACAGTCGTAAAAAGCACAAGAAGTCTAAGAAGACCAGGTAAGCTTTGTAGCCTACAGGAAGAACCCTGACATTGCATGACCCTGAATGATCTAGACATCCAGAACTGTTTGATAGCATAAGTATCCACTTTGTACATAGGGGGTAGATATGCGAGGAAAAGTCCTGCATTGTAGTGCATTTGTATTGCAGCATGTTAAAATGATACATTATTACCTGTCCTTTTTACAAAGCCAGTTTTGTGCATACACTGCAGGAGACCAGCTCTTAATGCAAGAGCACCTGTCATCTCATAATTATCAGACACAATCAGGCAAGACAAACAACTTTATCAAGGTTTTAAATTAATGTTGGTTTAAGGCATGCTTTTTTCCCTGTCAGGTTCATTTTTAATTGACCAGAATGTTTGGGGCTCTCACTGAGATTGCATTGTTCATGTCCAAACATTGTTCTTTTAAAATTCTGTGTGGTGTATGCTGTCTTTGTGTTGACTGGAAAATCATTTTCAGTACCTGGTATACTTAATATGTTATTGTTCGTGTGCATCTATGACTTTGAATATTTAATCTTAGGGTGCCTAGCAATCAGATATGTTTAAACAATTCCATTTGTACAAATTTCGTTCTTCTAGTAATGTGACCTTATTAGGGGATTAAATCAATACATCTTTTTCATATTTCCATTAATTACTCAAAGGTATTTAGAAAGTTATTGAATCTGTCCAGTCACACAGGAGAAATCAATTGTGCAATGTCAATGTACAATGCTGAGAGTGGTAAAGTGCCATAAAATGTGTTGCTTTTATTTTATGAATGTATAAACTGAGATTAGCCAATATTTATGTAATGTGCACTGACGTTTTAGCCTTAGACAATATTAGTGCAATTGTTTCCTCCCCTGCCAGGCCTCAGAGATGCTAAGGTTATCTTTCATGTTGTATATAGCATATTTATACACATCTGTGATATCTATGTGAATATGTATTGTTTTTCTGTTATTGATAGAAATAAATGGTTACGATATTACATTTTATTGTCATTTCTTGTTTGTTATGTCACCATGACAACAGAATTCTACACACCCAGAACGAGACTTTGTATGGCTTTCAGACTAGAGACATACATGAATTGAAAGACCAAATTTTGTACATTTTCTTGAACAAGAGTACATGTATTATGCTAATAGAAATGATTTTACTTTACCCTTTAACAATAAATAAAATTGTTACCCCCCCCCCCCCAAAAAAAAACAAAACAAAAAAAAACAAAAACTCTAAAGCTGCATGAACAATGGCAAAGCAGGATATAATATTCATATTTTATAACTGCATTTTAACAGACATTGTTTCTTGGATTTCTTGTTTTTATTATGCCCCCATAGTGGAAAATATATGAGGGTATATAGTTTGCTGCATTTCATTTCCGGAAATATGCATAGTATTTCTGACATTTTTTTATTTCATTTCCGACATTTTTTTATTTCATTTCCGACATAATTTTGTTTTCATTTCCTGAATTTACCTGTGCGGTAATTCAATGTTTTCTAAGTAAGTGAAGTGAATTTTAAAAGTATTTATTACAAAATATTAATAAAAAAAAAAAACACCATCTACACACATATGCCTCATATATGCCTTCATGTAGCACTAAGTCTAGGTAAATGAGCATAAACTTTTTCACCACATCTAATGTGCACAAAATTAAATGTCAGTGACAGCACCACACTTATGTCCAAGTCATTGATAGATTTACAAAACTCAGATAATGGATTTCAATGATTTATTTATGATTTTTTTTTCTTATATATAAGTAAATTCAATTTGAAAAAATGTCGGAAATGAAAAATAAAAAATGTCGGAAATGAAAAGTTGATAATTACCATGTCTTTTGAACAGTTGGTTCTTGGGCTTTCATATTTCACAAACACATGTATTGTTTTTTTATTTCTTCTCAATTAGCTCCCCTCCTCTTTTTATGGATACACTACTGTTGGAATTATTTAATTTGAAACTTTAATATAACTTTGAACATTCTAAAACAATGTGATACAAAAAAATTCTTCACCTAAAATCTTTTTAAGGTTGAGGGAAATATTATGTAAGCCATAACAATAAACAAAGAAAATCAGACCAATTGTTTGTACATGCACTTGCAGAGTATCAGCTTCTAAACAGAATGGCAATATTCACCCCCCAAACAACAATGTAACTTATGCAGAATATAACAAAACATGCAGCAGATTTTATCCACTGTGCAAGTTTGTTCCAAATATTTGGGTTTAAATCATTATAGAAATAGAAAGTTCCTACTTATGAGTCAATGAAAAAACAATATAAAAATCTTTTTTTAGCAATATCATGCTTTATTATTATTATTTGCAATTTCAGAAATACATTAACAACTGAAACCAACTGCAAATGCTTGGATTAAACAAAGTTTTTTCAATCATGTTTTATGTACTAAGTTTTTATAACATATTCACATATTATTGAGTGGATGAAAATTATCAGCTCATTTCTTCTTAACCCTTATGTGACAAGTATAAAGTTTTTGCTTAAAAGAATCAAGTTGTATGGTCAATAAGATGCCATTAAAAATACTAGTAATTCAACACCTAAAATGCCATCCTTGCTCCTTCATTCTTAAATTTCATACAATACATCCACTCTAGTATAAATTACAATTCTTTCACATTTTTGGTGCTTAAAAAACCTGGTTAATGTTATGAGAAGAACAGTATCACAACCACAACAAGAAAACTAATGGACAATAGATTACATGTATAATACAGTCAAACCTTGTTAATCCAGATCAGGGCTTTCAAGGAAGTGAATTTATTTGGATATGCTGTTTAAGAATTATTTCTCCAATAGTTTATTTTGCCAGTTATGAAGCGTCAAATTATTGAACAGTGAAAAAATTCAGAAAATTGTACTGAAAGTCTAAAACATTGTTTTTCAATTTACGATCATCAATGTTAATTCTCAATCTGTTTGCCACAGATTTTGTCCTGAATTGAAAGCATTTAGAAGAGTCATAATAATGAAGCGTGCAGTTTATTGGAGTCCTTAATAAAAAGATTTGCCTTTACCTTATATCCTTGTCTATCATCACACTCACAATATAACATACATTGTAAATGACAAGCCAAAATAATTTGATTACATACAGAATTACAAACAGTTTGAAGAAAGGAACATTTTTACTCCTAAGTTAAAAGTCCAAAAGATTAACTTGGAAAATAAGAATAATATGCATTAATAATAATTGTAGTACATATTGTACATGTACAAGTATGTATATACAAACAATCTTCATTTATGGACTAAACTTTGTAGACAATTTCTATTATGCTAAAAGAAAAAGTAAAAGATTAACATACAATAACATCTGATTTAGTAATTTATGTATACATGTATAAGTTAACAATGATCACCCACGCCAATATATTTGATTATTTATACAAATTTTAAATGTGAAGTCTCACTGGAAAATGTTAAAATTTTTCCTAATGTTTGATGGTTGAGAAGAGGTTTTCAAAACGTTCAAATTCCAGTCAAAAATACTTTAGCAAAACTTAGTTTTTAGGATACATAGGATAAATGTGTAAGAATTACAGATGGGAATACAATTTATGCTGAATGACACATCCATTCAGTACTTATACATACATTCTAACCAACATGAGATAGCATTACTTTGCATAAAATCTAAGAAAAACTGGTTGCAAATTAAAAAAAACAACTCATTATTAAGAAACAACAACAGTATAAATTCTAAAAATGAAAACAAATCTTAATAATAACAGTAGTATTTTGATTTTCTAGTCATTAATAGATACCATTATAAATAATAAAACACAACCTTGTTACACAACAGTGTCATTGAATGGGAAAATGGCAACAACCTCTACAGTAAAAATTTAGTAGAAACATGGATATAGCATATTCACAGATATAGAGGATTTATGGATAAAGCATAGCTTTTGGGATCCCTGGCAAATTTCTAATAACTATTCTTTGTAAAACTTTACAGTTATGATGAAAGGTTTACAGCAACTTTCATAACAAACTATCAACCTCAAAACTTAAAATACATATTTGACATAAATTTTTTTGTAGGTATTTACATTGAAAATTTAAATCATTAGATTACTTAGGTTTGCCAGTTTTGCATTGAATACTTCTATTAACATATTCAGTAGTCATACTTGAAAGAAAATACATTGACAATTCACTAGATTTAAGTCACTCCATAGGTCCCTAGGACTTCACTAAAACCAAGTTTTACCGAGATTTAAAGAATGGCAACTAGATTACCAAATCCTTAGAAAATGGAACTAGGATTTTTTAAAAGAATTTTTCAATAACTATTCCAATGAAATTTTTCTTCGAAAAAAATCAAGCAATTATACATATGTACAGATATATCTGTTGGAATTATTCCCCTTAGCCAGCACTTCCATTGTATGAGGTCAAAGTGAGAATTTTTTTTAAAAATCAAATTCAAAACATGAAGCAGGTCAGCAGGAATTTATTATTAAACCCTTTTCAAATAAAAAATCATGAATTAATGGAGGCTTCAGTTAAGGCAAATTTCTCTGAAAAAGTCTTTTCTATGCCCTAGTGAACTGTATGACATTTTATTTATAACCTGGGAGCATGGTAACTCCAATTTGGTGGCCAAAGGGAAATAACTCACATGCAATTCAAGTCTATTGAAAACTCTAAGTTTCTCATCACAGACGTATTCACAGAAATGTACTAAAAGATACGTATTTCAGAAAAACAAGACATTACACAAATCAATGATTAAAACTGTTACAATTAGTGTTCATATGCTGTAAAATGGCCTCTACACCTGAAAACACTTGATATTGCACATGGGTATAAATCGGAAAACAACAATATGGCAAATCATTGGTAAAAGCAACATCAGGATAAAAAAAAATCAGTGAGTATATAAGGTGGCATAAGTATAAAAATTAAGCATGTTAGCAGTAAATCAACTCATAATTAATTAAATGTATTAAATAGCATTCTACAAACGAATTAATCCTATGTATAGACCATGTACATATTTAAACACAATGGAAGAAATAAAATGAACTTGTATACATAGCATACAACTAAGTACAAATGCCCATACCAATATCACATTAGCTAATATTTAACTGGTCCTCAATCAAGTTTTGCAAAACAATGAAAATACCCTTTTCAATGGTGGCTTTTATAACTTTTAAAAACAAAATAATACAGCTATATAAAAATATACCTGCTTGATAACAAAGGCAAGGACTGAAAAAAAAATCAAACCAGAGGCTATAAAAATTTACAGTATAAAATTCAACCATTAACAAAACAGAGATTTGGCAGACATTTACATGTATAAAAATATCATACAAAATTAAAGCTTACAAGAAGTAATAGAAACTTTTACATGCAATTACAAAAATGTGGAATGCAGCATCAGTATATTTTCATAGGAAGCTTTTCTTCATTGTCAATCATTTCAGGATTCCAGCTTGATTTAAGATTTTCATAATTACTTGCTCATCTTTATATCCCAAGCAACACTCAGATTTTTAATAATAAAAAAAAAAATCAACTGGAAAAAAGGAGATTCATTGGTAAATACTGTATCCAAAAACTAAGTTTTAGAGTCTTCTATTCAGAGACCACTATAAAATATTCACAAGCTAGTACAGACTGTTTGCATATCACCTTACACAATATAATTTATAATGCTGGACTTATTCCTTTCAATGAACACCATCAAATACAACAGTTCTAATGTAGCTATAAGTTACAAGTTGTAGATCAGCATATGTTGTCTTCTTTGTAAGCATCCTGCTGGAAACAATTTCTTGCTTTAAGACTTATTTGACAGGGGACTTCAAGTTCTCCACAAAGCTCTGAACACTGTGTCGAAAGCAAGCACCAAAACTCTGGAAAACACAAACAAAAACACTCATAGATTAACTGTGTTCTTAGTTTTGGAAATCTTCTGGATATACCTGCTATTTTTTGTCCTGTCTTCAAGATAGAGAGCATATCTGGACTTAAAATTTCCAGAACTTCTCTTGTTTGATTTCATTAAACATTACACAACAGATATATACAGTAATAAATTTACATAATAATAAAAATTATTTAAACTCATGCAAACTTTATTTCTTGAAACTAGAAGGATATATTTTAAAAATCACTTTTAACATTTACTGGTATTCATAATTTAATGCAGAAGTTTTGCTTTCATTAGAAACTTTTATTTTGTTAAAACAGTACATGAAGACTGAATATTGCATATCCTTGAAGACTGTGTACCTACACATGTGATAAAGCTCATCACGTGGGGTCAGATTTGACTTTACTTTTAAGTAAACTGAACACAGACTGAACTCCATGGAGACTGGCCTTGACCCCCGACTGTACCCCCTCCGCACTGGCCTTCACCCCGGCTTTGAAGGTTGCCCCTATATTCTCCAACTACAGACCACAACAAAATAACATGCAAATCAAATACCATAAGCCCAGATAGAGACAATAAATGATAAGCAAATTAAAAATATGAAGAAAAAAAAAATAAGAATAGCTACAAAATTAATACAAAAGGTAAAAATCACAAAACCAAATAATATATATCTTGTTTCCATATTGGAACGATACATATAATTATTATAAAAGATATCAACAACAGAAATGTGACTGATAAGGAAACAGGTCACCACAATATATAAAACAAAACAAAACAAAGAAATGTTTATTATAAACAGACCTTGTTTTTCTGTGTCGGAGTTGGAGTCTGAATTCCATGTGCATCTAAATATTTCTGGAACCGTAGCTAGAAAATGAATTACAGTAATATATCATGACTGTCTTTTTCACCTCTCAACAATGACAAGCAAATATTTATATCTTTAAAATATAGGTTACAGGTCTATGACTGCTTATCAGAAAACAATTAACTCATCGAAAAAAAATCCTAGATATGACAAACCATAGAAAGGAGGACAATGACTTAACTTCAACCACAAGTGATATTTCTTTGACTTGTTGTGTTTGCAAGTTTTGATTTCAGTCAGCTGACTGTGAAATACTTGTCATATTTGATGCCTTTATCAGAATTAAATTCCAATATAATATTCGTACCTTACAAGCTGCCTCTATCGTTTTACACAGAGGTCCCGCTGACGGCTCACAGTGGAACACGTGAGCATAAAACTGGTCCTCAGCCCCATGTATGATGAAACCTCCCAATCTGTAACAAGATCAATGTACCGGTAAATGTTCTCTATCTTCATGAACATATAACCAGCATGAGCTAAAACTTAGTCCTACAAAGTTCAGAGTTGGCGACAGACACCGGCCCACCGGCGATCTGCGGTAAATTTCGTCCGAGTCCGATAGTTTCCAGAACCATGCCGGACACTGTGTCCAGTAGATATTTCAGAATCAATAGTAAAATATAATAAAAGAATTTTAATGAAATAATGCATTATTGTTCAAAACTTTGTGAAATTGAATCTGTAACAGTTTTACACCATACAAGTATTGTAGTAGTATGGCGAGTACCTCCCAGTTATCGAACTTACTACCACTCTTTTGTCGGAGAGTTGAGAAAGCTCTAAATCTCACATTCATAACATTGTTTACAGTAGTGACAATTGAATGATTCGAACAAACATTATGCCATTGTAACAATGTACTGTAAACCAACTTTTATTCGCGTGCGAGAAAATTTCGCGACTTTCGCGACAGCCTCTACATCGCGAATATTTATCGCCGCGAACCAATCCTAAAAATCCTTGTGTCTATAAACAGCAGAACAAAAATGTCTTTATCGCGAAAATAAATCGTCACAAACTACTTTACCCTCATAAACTCGCGAATAAAAGTTGGTTTACAGTATTGCCAAAGGTTGAACTGCTGACCAGATAGTAGATTGCCAAATAAGGAAAGTTTAGAGTATTTTATTAGCTTTCAAAAGTAATGATTTTCAGTAAAAATTAATGAGCTTAGTGAAAAATAATCGTTAAAAATGTATCATCTGAGGACTAGCTTCCATACCAAATTTTTATCTTATCTGTCTTTATAAACTCCACAATGATCCATTTTGCATTATAATCACTAGCACATTGTCCCCATCTCCAAAAGACATTTTCTACCTCCAACGCGAAAGAGTTCCACCAATCACATATCGATTTCAATTTCACATTTTGTTGTTTTTACATTTGGTCCGGCAAATTTTTAGTGTGTCCTGTAATTTTTTGACAATCTGTAGGACACTGTGTCCAACAGATTTTTTTACCTCTTTCGCCAACTCTGAAAGTTTGCTACCTAAAATAGACCACTAAACACGACTAAACTGGTAATTCCTAAACACAAGTATACTAGTGCAACACTTACTTAGCATTCTCCATGGCTATTCCCATAAATGACAGATATCTGATGCGACAATCATCTACTCTGTTTTCTGGCTTCTACAAAATACAACACTCCATTATTTTCTGTCCTCAGCAATAACCCAGATAGCAAGACTACATCGGGCCAACGTTGGTTGATGGTTGGTAGGTTGGTATAGTGTTGGTGTTGAGTTGTTAACGTTGGTCCAACATTGGCCCAACAAATGCTATGCTGGCATGAAAGCCGGTCCGTCGGTGCTGATTATGTGATGCTGGGCCAATGTTGGCCAATTGTAGTAAATGTTGGCATGAAATGTGGCCACTGTATATTGGGAATTCGATGTTGGCCCACCGTAGGTCCGACCGAGTACACGTTGGCATAAATTAAGATTATTGCGTGTTGGGATGTATAATGTTGGCCCATCTTAGGACCAACCAAGTAATGTTGACATGAAACATGGCCAATGTGTGTTGGGCATGTAATTATCGGTCCAATGTTGGCCCAATGTAGTTAATGTTGGCATGACATGTGGCCACTGTATGTTGGGAATTCGACGTTGGCCCAGCGTAGGTCCGACCGAGTATTGGCATAAATTAAAACCATTGCGACTGGAGATCCATAATGTTGGCCGAACATCAACCAAGTAATGGCGACATGAAACATGGCCAATGTGTATTGGGCATATGTAATCATCTGTCCAATGTTGGCAAAATGAAGTAAATTTTGATTATAATCTGGCATTGATCGGGCTTTGAACGTTGGCCCAGCGCTGGTCCAACAATGTGAAAATAGGGGAAAAAACAAATAAGTGCATGTAGGTGATATGTTCATTACGCACAATTCTTTAAATTTGTATGTTTCAGAACCACCTATTCTAAGCTTCTTTAAATAGAGACAGCTCAATTTAATTAAAAAGTTATGTAAGGATGAATTAAACTTAATAACTCATGCATTGATTACCAATTTAAAAAACGAAATATTATTCCAAAACCTTATTTATGAAAATCATATGATGTACTTTTGATGATTCTTATATGTTATTATTATTCAAGACCATTGCAAATATACTCTTCAAAAAAAGAAACGCATCATAGAATTTTAGTGACACATTGAACATAAATATTACTTCGTAAAATGATGCATTGATAAAACAGAAATGTGGTAAGCAACAGGAATATTATCTAAATTTCATAATTACTCAACAAATTTAAAATTATAGTCAGTTTAAGACCATTAAAGATCAATATCTGGTAATTATAGCCACAAACGGCATCTAATGGGAGCAAATGTGTGTAATGAAAACTGTATAGGAATACTCTCCCACTCCAAATGTAGAACTTCAGTCAGCTGTTGCAGAGTCTGGGGATGCGATTGTCTTTGGCAAATCATGTCAATCCATTTTGTCCAATGCTGCTTTATTTGGATTAAATCTAACGATTAAGATGACTGTGACTGAAACAGGTTGGTGTTTCTTTGCAAGAATGGGTATGTCGAACAAGCCATATGTGGCTGTGTATTGTGAGATTGCAATACGGCTCTAGGATGCTGCAAAATTGAATGGGTATGTGTAGGTAGAACATGGTTAGAGTGCCTTATTCCATCAAAGTCCATTGAATTCGAACCAAATCATTCTTACTTTCTTATAATACCATTTTCCATATCATAACATTACCACCACCACCAACTTTTTTAACGTCCTGGAGGCAATTATCTATCTCACCTTCATTAACAAGCATAAGCACTCTTAAACTTATAAGAGGCTTTCGGATTAACATTTTGGACTAGTAGGTTAACAAAAATATTCAACAGTCAAGCTGTGGTCATACTCAATTCATATGAGATCTTTGAAGTCGATATTTGGGGTGTTGTGGGGTAGTAACAATGGCATGAGTAATCCTCTTGCAATAATACGTAGTCAACTGAAACGGCCTTGTTAGATGATCTGTGCAGTTCAGGGATAGATAATGCTTTAGATGACGTCCTTGCATTTCATTTATGCAATTTGCGTAATCCTCGGACGTGATGCTGTGCTGCTGATGTCACACGTAGTCTTCCATATTTTTTGCGAACATTGGGTGTTCGAGGTTAATGGTTTATGTTTTATAGGTTAGATATGGTCAGTGTGTAACATAAAAACCTCCTGCAGTTGCAGATTGCTGTGCCCCTGCTTCCAGTCGCCAATTTTCTTTTTTGTGCCACGTAACATTCAGATGTAGCAATTTTTGGAAGCGTCATTTTTTCAGATAAAACCAGATTCAAAATTTCGAGAACCCCCGCTTTTGATAGCCCCTTTGTACCAGAAGGAATTGCATCGGAATTCAACAAATGAAAATTGAGATAAAAATTTTGGGGGAAATTTTGCAAAATCAGGTCTTTTTGTCTGTGAGACTTGTAGAATAGCTGTAAAGTTAACAATTGCATTAAAAAATCATTCATTCCACTCGAATACATCGTATCCATACAAAAATAAAAGGTATGACAAAACTATCACAAATTTTCAGGACATTATTCCTACTATGCGTTTCTTTTTTTGAAGAGTATATATCATATATCATGTATATGTAGAAGTTTTATTCTGCACATAATAAAATTTTGGAGATTCTATATTTAGCACCGTGAAACTTAAAGTGCTGAATTTTAGAGCTTCAGATAATTAGGTCAGTGTTGAAATCCACTTGCACAGCAGGTGACTGGCCGGTTTCCTAGGAAACGGGCATCCTAATCAGTTCTGTTTGGTAAACTCGGAGTGGTCACAATTTATCGCTTGCAACATTTGAACAAAGCATATAGGTGTACTTGTCTGCTTTGAAACGTAAGAAAGAGAAAACGGATTGTTTAGCTCTTGAAATGTAAGTATAGATGTTTTATGTGTTATTGATGGAAGTTTATGTTTTTGAAATTATTAACTTGGGCATAATTTGTAACATTGAACATGTTGAACAAGTTTTACAAAAGTTACACTTTCCAAAGTTTTCATATAGTTTATTAGTAATCTAGTTAATTATTACTTATCTGAGTACTAAGAGAAATCATTTTTGAATTGATTAAACTAACACATGTATATATTTTAAATTTTGTATCGCTTATAGCAACTGCATGGTGGAGAGAAAACCCTTTCTGTTACAAGACCATTGATGTATGGAATTTACTGGACATGCAGTGAGTGATTAAACTGTGTGGAGGACATGTATTTTATAGACAAAGAAACAATAACATAAACAAGGGGAAGAAAGGAGTTAATGATTCCAAAGTTGCACATATTTGAACACCGGATACCATTTAAGAATGGTTGTAAATGTAGTGATATATTGGATAGACTTTGAACCACCTTCCTGTTACATGTATTGGTTTCATTAAATATACAGGAGTGACAAAAACAACATTTATTTGAAGAACTAGTTAATTGTCCATGCAGGATTTAATAAATTAATTGTGATTTACTCGTTATTATGGAAATAAAAAATGTCACAGAACTGGAATTCATATTGTGTAATTGATTAAAAAAATAAGTGAATCGAAAATAATTTGCCAAATACGGCCAACGTTTGTCCAACATAAATAACATTGAACCAACATTGGGCCAACAAGAAGTTATACGTTGGGCCACTGTAGGACCAATGTCAGATTACCAACCTTCAAATGTTGGCCCAACGTCGAGCCAACTTGTTGGTCGAACGGTGGGCCGATGAGCAAGATGATGTTGGGCCAACAAATAAAACTAACAGAGGGCCAACGTAATTTTCACCGTTGGGCTGACATTGGTCCAACGTAAGCTTGCTATCTGGGAAGACTGTGAAATATCTGTTAGAACCAGACAAGGTACCAGCTGAGGTACCCCCTGACATTTACCCCATGTTCTGTGATGGTGAGAGTGGAGGGTGCTATTGCTACGTCAACAAAGATCCATTTCTCAGGTGGGATCCGACTGTACAGAGACTCAATGGCATTGTTTAGAACATCAGTCCCTACCAAACAAACCAGGATTAAATTATAGGTATTTTCATCAAAATTAGTTTATTATTTTCTTTGTCAATTATAAAACAAAACTGTAAATCCTGGTAAACTTCTTTTTAAAAATCTGACAGGAATTTTTACCTGTAGGCTTTGAGACCATTTCCATCCCAAGATAGTGGCAGCGGATAATTTTCTTAGGTTCCTCCATTGGGGTAGGAAAGGAAATACCTAGAAATATATCATTGTTAAATAATTTGCATAGACTTCAATAAAAGTTGAAATTATCTAAATTTCATTATAAACCTAAATAAAAAGATGATTAAATTCAGATTCTTAAGCTCCATTAAAAATTTCACAAAGGACTGTGAATTTTTTTTAGGAGCATTCGATTTTGCTTAATGTAATACCAGGTACGCTTATCACACGATTTATTCATGTATGAATAATGAAAATAAATTGTAGCCAACTTCATTATGCTTATACTCCACTACAGCTATGTATACAGATAGATTTACAGAGAGGAAAAATATTTTCTTGTTCCATGACTTACTGCTGTAGAGGCTCTGGAAGGACAGCTTTTGTCCGTTTGTCTGTCCATTAGCTTTGTCCAGGTTAGGGAGGTCAGTGGGACGACTAAGTCGCTGAACCACTGCATTCTGTTCTAAGTGCCGCTCCAACATGATCTTTTTACAGATGTCTCTCAGAGTGTTGGCAATGTGTCGCGCTGGGGTGTCGCAGCGAAACACGTGACACATATGTTTCCTTGTTGTCTTATCACGAGCAACGTAGGCAAAATCTCTGTACAATTAAATCATACTTAGTTGACTTACTTACACACACTTCTGGTAAACAGAGACAATTGCAAAAAGTTTCAAGCAAAAACATTTGAATTAACAAAGAATTTAAAGAAAATTTACACCAAATGCCTAAACACGCTACTGATTCACCAGAAAACATAATTTGGATGACATTACTTAACACTGTTGCATATGTCAAACTGTTTGTGTTTTTCATTTTTAGTACAATTTTTTGTGCCTGTGAGGCATAGATAAATAAACTGTGTGCTTCCAGTTCCCCAACAGACCATAAAATATATGAGCCAACCCTAAAAAAATTTATCCACTAATATCTATCCAAAAGTAAATAAATCCAGTTATTTTATTATAAAGTTTAATTTCAATCACTTCTGTGTATGAGAAAATGTATATCCTATACACATTCAGCGGAAATGTTTTGACAATGTTAAAATAAAATAAAATGTTTTCCCTACCTACCTACCCTATTTTTTCTAAGGTTGGAATAGGGAACACACTATTTATTTATCTTGGCCTAATACAAAAACATCTAATACATACAAGTATACAAACAAAATACAACATATTACCTCTCCCTGTGATTGTTTGAAAAAAAGAAATGAAGTTGAAATTCAAGTACCGGGAATTTCAGTGATGTTCAGACAATTTTATCTAACCATGAAAATTAATTATCATGTTTTTTTTAAATCATATGTACATAAACGTAGACATTTTTAATCATTTTACCCATATTCAAGTATTTATAATGAACTGCACTACAGAACATTTTAGATTTCCATATTTAGATACCTACCGCCCATTGTCCCTGCCCACCCCCCAGACCCTGATGGACTGTATGGGCTGTGAGTTCAGGGTGGTGAAATCCTGGGTGTCCACCAACCTCAGACTGTCTTTGTCTAGGTCCATGTACAGATCCTTACCCTAACAAGAAATCAAGAAATTAAGATAAAAATTTCATAAATCAGAAATTTTTACATCACCGAACCGTGGTATCTACTTTGTAAACATAACATTTATGTTTGTAAGAACAAATATCTGCAAGACATTGATCCACACATGTACATTTTTTGGATTACTGCAAAATCTGTATACTCAATATTGAGAAATCAAAGAGAATTATTCCAGGAAACCTACATCTCCCCAACGGCCGACCACGTCATTGATATCATTCCTGCCAAATGACAAATCGACGATACATTTATTGACGGCTCGGCTACTTCTCTCTGGCGTCAAATCTTCCTCCGCTATCCGGACCCAACCGAGTGACTGAACCGCAAACCGCACTGGCTTCTCATGGGGGTCAGTTTTCTTTTGTTCTGGTTGTACCTCCTGCTTTGTGGAACTAGGTAATAAAAAATCATAATCATTTATTGATAAAAAGAAATAAAACTGTGGTCATACTTTTATGTTTACCAAAGTAGTGTCCCTTATGTCATAGTAATCTACAAAGTCATTTGAATTGTACAGTCTGAATTTGATTGGAAAGACTAATAGTTTAAAATCTTTTTAAAATACATTTCACGCAACAAGCAAAGCTAATACATCTAGTACTTACATGTTTTGCAGTGATTTTGCAGCATACTGTAGGGCATGACCTTCAAAAGCCTTGAGTGGGTCCTCTGTATTGGAGGATACACTAGAGGGACTGGAGGGGACTGATCCATTGGTAGAGCCAGAACTCTGTAAGGATATAGACAAATGTTTACCAGATTGTAACACAAAATCATTATAAAACATAAATGGAATTAAAGCATATACCCGGTAAAGTAAAAATTGTTTAATATGAACACCGATATAATGAATTTACAGATATAAATTAAATTTTACGGGGGATTCTGGGCAAGATTCTTTAAAAACCCCTGTATTTTTAAGGTTCTAATTCACTTGGATTTAATGAATCTACACAAATATGTGGTAAATTTCAATATCCATATTTTGAAGTTATCATAAAATTAGTTTTAGACTGGGACATGCAGTTCCCATATACATTAACATCCATAAACCTTATAAAATATTGTATACAGGAAATTTTTCATCCCCATTTTATTTTTTAATTTTATTTTTTATTTTTTCCCCTTTCACCATTGTCACAATTGGGCAAATTTAAAACAGGGGGAATTGACACAAAATAGTATTATCTCTTAAGCAGAACTGTGTCTGGGTGAATTCAAAGCAGGGCAAAACTGTTCGCATATGTAAAATGGCAAAAATAAGATGAGGCGAAAATATTATTACAGTAATATTACAGTATTAGTATTCAGAATAATTTCAGTATCAGGCTCCAACATAAAACATGTATATAATATAAATACAGATTAAGAGCATATAACAAATGGAACCTACTGAATTACTCTTAACACTCAGTGACCTGAGTGTGGTCTGTTTGACGTCGGGTGGTGCCGGTGATGGTGGCTCCCTCTGGATGGTCCCACTCTTTATGTGCCAGTAATACGCCCCCTCCTCATCCTCACATTTCTCCCACCCTGCGGGCAGCACCACTTTCTCTGGAGCGTCCTACAAAAGGTCAACAAGAAAAGTAATCAGACTAATCAGACAAGGTCAACAAGAAATCCAATCAAACAGGGTCAACAAGAAAACCAATCAGACAATGAAACAGGTTACATAATCATGTCTGTAACAATTTGTGAGGCTTCTTCATTTCAATTTAAAGTGCACTACTTGTGGAGAGAAATCTTTAGGAAGACTGGAGAGCTAAAATAAAGATTATGGCCGGATGTAAGTAGGGATCGCAGAAATACTACAGTGACAATCAGATTCATGAAACCCTGTCATCTAAAGCAACAGTTAATCACTGCAACATCAGACAAGGGCCCAACAAGTTCCGTGGATCAATATCAGAGGAGACACTGGAGAGAGTTCTAATTACACGATTGCAGTAAAACGTACGCAGTGTATCTTTATTTTGTGCTAATAAATAATCCTCAAAAACTGCAGATCAAGAGCATCTCAAGACAATGGGACTCTCCCATCGCATGACAACGTGAAGCCCTGTTTTTGAAGACTGTGACTTGTTGGATAACAAGATCTTCAATCCTGATTACAGGAATGGGCTTTGTCACAGTCTCTACACTACATCCTTTATCACATTTCCTCTACTGGCACCAGGATGGTCAATCCTTTAATTATCTGAAGTTCACTTTGAGCCATTATTTTTCTTTTTTTCACACATAACTTTCAGTTGCTATGATTTCAAGAAAGTCTTTCAAAAATTACTTGTGACAGATAATGCATATTGCATCCTCCATTCACATAAAATCTTTGTCTGGCATCTTCTTTACTACTGGCACCGATATAAAAGAATTGGGATGCAACTGGCAAAGACCAGAATCCCTAGCCTTGCAGTATTTGATTTGATGGATAAAAAAGACATCATGTATAAAATCTATTTTGTAAATCATGGCCTTACATACAAACAAATCTATTTCCTTTTGTTACTTGAAACTTCAATGCTAGCATTTATTTTTGAAGTTGTTTATATATTTAGGAACTTATCCATATTTTGACTTTATTTAGAACCGACCTCTTATAAATTTGACAGAAAACATATGAAATACTGTAAGTTTTAATTACCCCTGTGGGTGTGGTTTCTTCTGACCCTTCCTGCTCCGAGGACTTATTGACCACTGAGTAAACATCATCATTAACAGGTCCATGGACATGTGACCCATCATCAGATCTTGCATCGGAATGGATACCACTGTCTGGGGAATTAATATCAAACCTACAAAAAATATATATCAACAATGCTTATTTTGGGGCAAACTCCATTAACCATGAGCAAGTCCCTAGATTTAACTTTATTAAATTTTAAAAATTAATTCTTACAATTTCTAGCACATCTTCATCTCTTTAAAAATAGAGACTCAATATACAATATTTTAACAAGAAACCAGACTTGACCCCTCTGACACTGACTTGACTTTGGCCTGGCTGACCGGAGACGTGATCCCACTCCACTCCAATTCCAGATCCAGGTCGGATGAGATGGATTGGGACTTTTCCTTGGCTTTGCTTTCCAGCATGGAGTAATAGTCCAGGAATCCTGTGGATTTCTTGCCGGAGTTTGTGTTCTCCACGTGTGAATTCCTGTCCCCTTTCTGCATCAGATTTTTCTCGTTTTTCCACGTGTTTTGTTTTAAGTCCTTCTTTTCACTGCCATCTTCATCCTCGGATGAACTGTCAGCTGACAATTCAGCCAAAAGTCTCTGTTTCTCACTTTTGTTGGAGTATTTCTCTGAAGCAGATTTATTGTCTAGCAGGGATATGGTGGTCACATCAACTTCATCATAGATGTTTACGTCTTTGTTCATTTTACTGGATTTCATTTTAAGTTGGTCTTCAAATTGGTAGTTTGGATTGGAGAAGCTCAAGAAAATGTTCTCTGGATCTGAAATATATAAAAATTTATTCTATATAATTTTTTATTAAGATTTCATCATCTCCATAATACCTTATAAAGTAAAATTTGTTCTTTGAAAAAAAAATTAAAATAAGCTGTTTCCAGACATATCTAGCAGCTTAGGGATTATCTGATCTGTAACTGAATTATAAGTACAAGAATAAAATTCTGCTAGCAAGTCTTGTGGAGTTGGATAAATCTATGATTTCATTTTAAATGAAAATCAAAATTTAATTACCCGTTATATCAAAACATTATCTATACAAAACATTCTCTAACTTAATTCAATATAATTTGTTGCCATTCCAGTGGCCCACTTTGATTTTTTCCTATTGATAATTCTTTCTAATGAATCCTGGATACAGCTAGGTCAGACAAACTAACAACCCCAAAAACCTAACTGTGGTGTTAATCATCCAAGCATTCTCATAAAACACCAAAATTAGAATCCTTGAAATCAAATTCTTGTAAAATGATTGATATTTATATGGATCAATACCAATAGTTAAACGGCTCCGACAATAAATATAAATTCTAACAGAAATCTTACATTCTGCAACACAAATGAATTGGGAAAAATGACAGCTTCTCATGGTCTGAAGTAATTACCAGGAGTCTTATTTATTTTCTCGAAAGTTTCTGATGTTTACTTCAAGCTAGACTCTGCATCCGGTTCGATTTTTACCACCCCTCGGCATCGATTTGAATATCAAATCAAATAATTAAGTCAAATGTAAATTTACATTTTCTGCAATATTTTTCACAATGGTCCATAAACTAACAAGACAACATTGTATATGGGATCGAAACCTTCCCTTCCAGATTAATGGTAATGATTTCCCTATTTTAGTTTTTTATCAGATACGAAGTATTGTGACTGTGAGATAACACTCTCTGTGATTCCAGTTTTTTTCTTAACTGGACACCAAGCATGAAAGGCTTTTAAGATGTTATACTCTTGAATATTTACATGAAATTACAAGTGTTTGTCTCGATTTGTCACATTGAGAGTGACCATTAAAACAAACTATATCAGCACATGAAAGAAAATAATTATTTAGGATTGTAGACATGAAATACCAGCTATAAAAGTTAATCTAATCTGACACAAAGGCCTGTCTAACACAGCATGCCTTTGTAAAGCAATACCTGGGCAAAGAGAAAATTCAGACTGTGCACACTGATCCAAAGGAATGTAGCCTCTTTGCATGTTGATGCAATGTATACTATTTTGTAGGGGTAACAAATATGCAGTAGAAATGATTATTTTGAAAAAAAAGTGGTTATGAGCTTTGCATCCAGCAAAAGAAGTTATATGATTTAGTAGCCTGCCCAGGGAACTTGACAGTCACCTGAGTATCAGAATTCCTTCACACACTACCCAAGCCTTTGAAGCCAAGTCTATATTCTTTAGAAGACTTGAAATTTTTATCCTGCAGCCACTGCCTGCATTGATTAATTAAATCTAGTTACTGTTTATTGCCCTAATAAAACCATGTGCATTTGGCTCATCTACAAAAATTCAAATAGAATTTCTAAGACATCCGCAATACATTTTCAAATTACAGTATATACAGTGGCGGATTTAAGGGGGGGCGCACCCGGCGCGCGCCCCCCCTAAAATTGTCTAAGTCCCCTTCAAAATCTCTAGTGGCCTCTGCACTGGACCCAAGGGATATTAATTTTACAAAATAGGGAAGACAGTTCATTTCTCAACACAGTGATCATGCATATATTTTGACAGTTATGGATTTTGAGTCATAAACTCTTTGACTCATTGGCATGTATGAATTTAACAACATACTCTAGTATTTGAATCACAAGTTTCCATTTTTGGGGTTTTTTTGAGCGGGAGGTTAAATATAATCTGACATGAATGGGCATGCAAATATCAAAAATCATAAAAATTTAACCCCACCAAAGTTAGTAATTTTTGTAGTACATAAAAGGATTGCTGCTCCAATCAATGATGTTGTAATCAAAGCTTTACATCTTTATCAGAACCTTGAAACCTTAATATGTTATGAAGTTATGATTTTTATTTTGTAGAGGGATTATTAGAGGTACAAGTATAACCACTCAGACAGATTGGCTGCTCATTGTTCTGTAGAAAAGATGACAATTGAAGACGGCACGGAATTTGATAATTATCAGTGATTTAACACAAGGTGCAAGATGTGATATTAAGAATTACAATTTCCAAGATCCTTCAAATGAATTTTCTTTTTTTTTCTTTTTCCCCCCAAAAGTGGTTTAGAATTATTGAAATGAGATTGAATATACTCAATACACAATGAGTCAGTGTTTCAGATATAAAACACTGCTAAGGAAATTTGAACTGTAGAGGGACGGGATACTTCTGATCAAAATGTTTATTCTGAAGATGAATTCTTTGTAGTGCTCTGGAACAATTAATTTGGCTTTATTCTATGGTTCTTTTCTTTAAATCACGACTGATGTACTACTCCACTCCCCACCTATATGAGTGGGTCACTGTCACAGTACACAGGAACTATTAAGGCTGTCTATCCTGTCAGTGTCATACAAGCTCTAACAAGGACCTTGATCAACAGATTCTTTTGACATTTGATGTAAAATATATCATCAAGTCAAAGACAGTGAATATCCTATCATGCATTGCATTCAGTTGCAATTTCAGTGTCTAAACTCATCAGCCAGAAGTTCCATGTCTTGTTATTTAATAATCTGACAGTCTCAAACTGCAGAAGGGAGATGAGCCAGAAAATGTCATCAGTGCCCATCTTAATGGGATGTCCACTTAAAAACCATTAAAATATGACCCAAGAGCAGCTATTGGTAGATACAGATCAGAAATGCAGGAGAGAAGTGAAGCACAACACAGTAATAGGAGCATGGTTCACAAATTTCAGAAAATCACAGGAAAATCATCATGCCTGAATCCATTTTGATGATGAGACAAATCTACAAGATTTTTGCATGATGATATCTACTATGACCAAGTGTAATTTTATTCAGCTCAATAAGCTGGAAATCTTTTTGTTCTTTGGGACTTGATGGTTATAAGCTTTGAAATAATATTAAAACCAATACAGCACACTCTTCTTGTATGTCCTTGTTATTATGAATTAAAACACCTATAGCTTGACAAAAATGATCTCAATGTAATCAATTTAAAAATAAAGACCTGTTGAGAATTTTTTTTTTCCTTTGGAAGAGGGGGGGTGTTGTGCTTTACCAATTCATATGCAAATAAAACACAGATTTTTCTGTTCTAATGGTGAATTTTTTTGGTAACCTTTTAACAAATTGGCAATATTGGCATTGGGTATAAAACTGTTACAAGAGTTTGAATAAACTATTTTGTCCAGATATGAGGCTTTGTACACAGTCAATAAAGTTAACAGGTACATTGCTAATATTACCTGATAAAACAAAGTGCAACAGCTTTAATTTCAGCCTTTCTAATTATCCAGGGATTTAATTACATCTTAATCAGCGTAATTTAATAAATTGCTCAAGAGTGCTATTTCCACAACCAGACCTCTTTACCATGATGGCTATCAACAGTAACTGTTGAACATTTGTCAATGATTTTAATCTGAAACCTTGCTTGATATTTGCATAGCCCCATAGTACTTTAAACATATTTTATTGAATATAATTCAATCCTGCCTATGTAAGCTCTCCTTTTATAATTGGTCAAGATACAAATTAGAAGTAAATAATACATGAACATGATAATCAATAAAATTATAATGAAAAATAAAGATTCACAATCAAGTATTAAAAAATATATCTAAAAAAAAAAATGACAACCCCCTAACTGTATGCATATTATTTACATACTGTTTCTTAAAAATAATACAAATATTTGAAGAAGAAAAAAAATTATGCATTAAATAGAATATTTAATATGACAGTGTCCCTAATTTAGTCTTTTAGAAGATTTTATAAATTCTTGTACATATGAAAATATTTGACAATTTGTTTGATAAGAGTATTGAGATTTACCTCTTACCAAAAAACAACATTCATTTAATTTTTTTACCAATATGTTTCTTTCAAAACACAGTTGATTTTTCTGTTCCACACTTTTGACATGATTGTGATAAAAAATTTTTTTAAATGTGCATTAACCTTTTAACAAATGCAAGATATTTTCTTTCCTATTACCAAAGTTAAAGTACTTACATTTATTAGGCTCCCCAATTCTTAAGTTTTGCTTTAAAGATATAAAACTGTTACAAAGTTTTAGTTTGAATAAACTATTTTGTTTTACAAACTGGTATGCATAAGTTATTACATCCAGACCTTAGGTTTTGTTGACACAAGGTTGAATCAAATCATACAAATAATCAGGTGCACCATTAATCATTTTATACATCAATTGAAGTTTGTGTTTTTCTCTTCTAATATTACCTAGTTCATAAAACAAAGTGTCCAGTACTAGCTTTAATTTCAGCCTTTCTAATTTCTAAAATTGGTCTTATAAAGGCAAAATAAATTTTTATAAGTGAATTTCTATCAATGCTATGTTTCAATAACCTAATTATATTTAATCTTTTACATGCCTTTTCATATATATTTGATATGTGATTGTTCAGAACCATCTGCTTGAAATTTAATAATTTGATTGTTTTATATAATCACCTCCATATCCAAACTGAATATTAGGATAACTTACGTGTTTTCTAGTAAAATCAACATTCCACAACCAGACCTCTTTCTTTTCACCATGATTGATATCATTGTCTATAATAGCAACAGTAACTGTTGATATATCATATATGTCAATGATTTTACATGATGATGAATAGCTTTGCTCTCAGATATTTGCATATATTATTTAATTTTTAATATTTAATATTTTATTAGCCCCATAGTAATTAGTAAATGTGCATTTAAAGGATTTATTTTCAGTAATAAAAAAAATACACTTCAATGCATTAAACAAAATTATTAAAAAATTCTTTTAAAAGATCTATTGTTTAATTGTTCCAACTTATGAAGACAAAAGAAACTTTTTTCTGTATCAAGTATGAAATCTCAAATGTAATTTAGTGCATATATTAAATTGACAATTTTTTCTTGTCAATATATCTACAAAGAATGTATTATCAGAATTATTTTAAAGTAAAAATATTGAAAATTTGACATTTTCTTAGAATGACATGAAATACTAATTTAATCTAACAAATGAGGCTTCATGCAAATGATGTGCAATAATATCAATATGCATGGTTGTTAAATTTGGCTTAAATGTTTACACATTTAAGCATGACACACTATTTTTAGAACAATAAATATTGGAAAATTAATTTTAACACGAAAAGTTCCATGGTGACATGCTATATTTGTAACGGTATATGCAGGCTTGCTGGTCATACAGTTCTATTACATACATTAGATAAATAGAAATAATTTTAAAATGTGAAAAGGTGAAAATAACAGAGTTTGATCTAAAAAAAAATAATCTATAAACAATACAAATATTTGAGGAGGACATGAAACACGAACCCCTGGAAATTCCTGAGGTGGGATGAGGAACCTAAGACAAGTAAGTATCCCTGATAACCAGTCACACCTACCATTAGCTCTTTTTAATACTTATCTTTTAAATAATCAAAGAAAAAAAATATAATTAAAACAAGAGGTCCATGGGCCACATCACTCACCTGAGTAACTTTGGCCATGCTGTTCTTAAACAGATCCCCCCTGTAATACTAGTTGTGACCCTACCCTACCCCCAGGGGTCATGATTTAGACAATTTGGAATTTACACTACCCTAGATGCTTTCACATGAGTTTTAGCTTTTCTGGCCTAATGGTTTTTGAAAAGAAGATTTTCAAAGATTTTTCCTATATATTTCAATGTAAAACTTGGATTCCCTATGGTGGCCCCGCCCTACCTCAGGGGTCATGATTTGAACAATTTAAACTCTGCACTACCCCAGGATGCTTCAAAGTAAGTTTCAGCTTTTCTGGCCCAGTACATGTGGTTCTTCAGATTAAGTTTTTTAATGATCCCACCCTATTTTTGTCTATAATCTTCATTAATCTCCCCTTGCAAGGGGACTTGGCCCTTCATTTTGACAATTTAAACTCCCCTACAACCTACAACGGAAGTTTGTTTTGATGTTTTGAGAAGAAGTTGAAAATGTGAAAAGTAACAGATGGATGGACAGACGACAATAATAATTTATAATTTATATTACATTTATAATTTATACCATATGCAATTAAATATGCATGCATACTTATTCTACTAAATTTACAGAATGTTGTCAGCTATTTATTATAAATCATAGTTTTTAAAACACATTACTGTATCTAAAGTATTGACAGTCAAAGGGAATGCTTGTGAATTTTTTGCTTATACACATATGCATCTGATATGGCCTATAATTCTGACACTCAAAAAACATTAATTAATCTTCATTCTTACTTTTTTGACATATTTTAATTAACATGTACTTTCCTTTATTAATTTTGTGTCTGACATTTTGTGAAAAACATTTCTGATTTTTTTCAATAATTATATTTTTTAGTACAGCAGATTTTCCTTAAATGATTAATCAGAATTCACTCATTTTGTGGAACTATAAATTTTAGGGTGAATCTTTCTTAAAACTTCCAAGGGAATCCTTATTTACATTTATCTGAAATCAAGACCAGACAGAAAAGTCAAGGATTACAAAATTCAATAATCCCTGATCTACGAAGAACTTTAATTTTAAAACCAGGATTTTCCTCTGGAGACTTTCCTAAAGACTGATCATTCCCTCTGATATTGTCTGAATTCATCAGGTTTTCCTAATTACCCTGAAGAGCTGGAGACCAGCCTCCTTAGCCAGACTGTTATAAATACAGACTGTGACTAATTGCCAGACTGGACAAAAAGGAACTGAAAGCACAATGAAACAGAAGGAAGTATGTCTGAATTCTGCACTCAGCGAGACCCAAATCTATAATAATTAACCTGAGTTGATATTACAGGTGAATAAATATTGAATTTTCTAATAATAATAACATTAAAGAAATCCAATAAAAAAAATCACCTCTAATAGCTTTAAGAGGCTTATCACCATATTTTCGTAACAAAGGAAATATTGTTCACATTATTAATCAACAAATTTGCACAATATTTGGGAAGAAAAGTCATCTTTTATTCTTTTCTCTTAGTAGTACTGTGGTACATCATTATTTTTAAGAAAGCAAGCCAAACTAACCTTATTAGGTTTTATTTAATTGAGGGTATTTGTCATGTTTGTCTCAATTGAAAAGTTTTGAATAGGTGAAATATAGCTGAACTTTGGTATCTTGAACACCAAAATTTCAAACACGATGGATATGTTAAAGTGCTTTGGAAAACTGAAGGTCCCTGAATCACCCATTTTAGTTTGCTATCCTTGGTATCTTGAATCCTTGGATATCTCATAGTCATTTCTCTGTCCAAGCTAGAGGTTAGACTGTAAATTGCATGTCAAAAAAAATCTTTATGCTAGCTTCATTCTGCAGTTTATTTTGATTTAGCAAAATTTATTACCCTTAGCAACAGTATCTCATGCTAATGACAATCTCTCTTATCTAATTTTTTTTAATTAAACTGTCTCATACACAAAACTAAAAATAAAATCCATATTGCAAAAATTCTTGCAAAACAAGACTTCAAATTTAGCTGAGACCAGATATGGCTGGTAGAAATTAAGTTTCTGTCTTTGGACTTCATCAGGCAACAAATTTTCTTAGCAAAGTTTGTTTTCTGTAAAACCACAGATTAATGCCCTGCAGTTATAGACTACCCCCTTTCATGATCTGATAAGCTGCTGTTCTTCGATAAATTGTGATTATTAAAATGTTAACATTTCCTTTTTTAATTTACAATTTTCAACCTGAACTGTGTTTCGGTGATCAAAATGTACAAATATCACGAAGCAGTACATGGTTAAATAATTTGGAAGGAGACAGTGTGGTTCAATAATGTTTTCTTACCAGTCAGAAATAATTACAAATATGTCTCGTGAGAGAAATAAATCCGGTGATTCATACTGTCTCTTATTACTTCCCACTGTCTCCATATCTCACCCCTGTTAACCTAATCTATTTGTTTTCTCCTACAATTTATCTTTCTAGGGACTTAATTAAACTGTTCTGAAATCATCTATTTATTATCAAAAATATATGGGAGATGACATGACATTCCTTCTATTTATTCAGACAATTTTAATATGAAATCATTTATAGGAGGGAATCAGCAATAATTTGATAACAAGCAGCTATTTATTTATTTATTTTTTTATTGAAACAGTTTATCACAAAATTAAATCATAAGAATTATGTGCATATGGATACCCTGCATTTTGATTCCAGGAAAATAAAATTTCATGTTAACTTTGTGAATTTTCAGGTAACAGTACCTTTTCTTTAAATCCCTTATTTGGCTTTTTTTTCAAAATATGGCCATGCAGCATCAACTTTAAACTTTCTATCCAAGTCATTTAAATTTATTAATTTTCTCTCGCAAAATGGTTAAACACTACATACCCATAAAAAAAACTTACCATGCAGTGGATTATGATAAAGACTCCATGTTTTTTGAGATCCTTTTATTCGTTTATACAAGGTCCCATACCAAGACATATTAAAATTAAATTTTCTTGTTCGATTTCTGCGTCGATGAGTCATGTTAGCATTAGATTGCCCATGTTCCAATGTGTGAAACATCATGGCACTCTTACAAAACAATTTATTCTCTTTTAGCATTTTTAATTCAATTTCTGGTGAAATTTCCTCTTGCTTCCTGCATTTCAGAATAGTTTGATTGGGAGGGAAAAAAATTCTTTCTGAATCTGAAACCTGTTGAATGAACGTTCATTCCAATACTCCTGTTTCAGCCATAATTGCTTGAAGAATTTTGTTTCACAAGCAATTTCCCCTCAAAGGAAGGAACCTTTTTAAGTAATCCAAGCCATATAAAGATAGATCATCAATGGAAAATGTGTATCTGCTTCTTCGTGAATTTTGATCGCTCAAAATGAAGGCCCATCCATCAGTGGCAAAATTTCCTTAAGCAGGCACAAGATTAAATCTCTCAACTTCAGAAACATGTCTTAAATCATGGATATGCCAATCAAAAGTTTTCTTAATATACTTAAGATAAAATCAAGGGCATGTATTACGGAGAAAAACATCAATAACAATAAGTCACTAAGAACAAAAATCCTAACGGTCCTGAAATAAGAAAGTAATGGAGAGGACATTACTTTGAAAGCTGATTGGTTGAACTGAATGATAGCTGCACTTTATCGCAGCATTTCTCTGAGGACAGTTTTGATTCCAGCTCATACTTATAATGTAGTCCAGCCCTTCATTGCTACAATCTCCAATCACTGTGTACAGCTATGCTTCACAAGAAAATGTATTTCACCCTCAGTTTCTTCCCCAGCCTCGGTATTCCCTGAAGTGAATTCATTTTAATTGCAGTCTTGACAAAATTCTATGCTTTTATTCAAAAAGGAATACAATATACTCCAAACCAAGATGATCGGTTCTATTGATGAGGAAGAGAGACAGTATTACAAGTATAGAAATGACAATCAGTCACTTTCCCTGGTTCAGAAACCACCTTTGTGCTGTGGTCCTCCAGGAATACAATATTTCCTATATATTTGTACAGGGAAGTGATTTTCCAGTCCTGTCACTGCCCCTCCTGCTGAGGTTCTTTGACTCCCCACCTAAGGCTAGCGTTACCAATACTGCTCATCCCTGACAGACCATCAGTGGGTTATTTCACATGCTCTTTGACAGGAAGTAATTGAATAATTCTCTTTAGGCTGGAATTCCAAGACCCAAATTGATAATGTCATTCCAAAAACTGAAATCCGTTATAAATATCAGATTTCTCAAATAAAAATTCAATGACTTAATTCATCAGTCAGACTGTAAGGTGGGCTTTAAATGAATGCGTCGAGTGACGATCAATATGTTAAACATTTAGCATCGCTAATTTTTGTCACTAGATTCCAATTCAATTTTTAATCATGACTTCTGGGAATGAACATAATGAGTTAATAAATCGCTTCATTAAAGACTAATATGCCTTTCTTGCCATGGTAATATGAGATAATATGCAAAATAATTACACTGCAAAGGATGGCTGTGCATTTTAGAGGCTTATACGGGAATAAGCTGAGTTTTTGACTTATCAATAATGTACGTATTTTCATAAAAAAAGAAAAGAAAACCTCCAGAGGTAAAGGTATTATTTTTAAGTGATTTTTTTTTATATCAATGAACAGAGCATAGTTATTGATCTTTGTTTTCAAACTTCATGACATATGATTTTATTAGACGCTATCTTAAAATATGAGATTTTCTTCTAATTAGCTTTGCTATCTGGGTGAAAATACTAGTACACTAAGTTTGACTTGCTATAAAAGTAAAATCACGAAAAAAGAACAAGATTAAAACCAAAATAGATTTAAAAGATTTGATTAAAAAATGATTCCAAGAAATCTCCTGGTTCAAAGATTCATGATTAAAATCAGATTTTCAGAAACTGTTTAATTAGAGAACTGGACGGTGGACCACAATAAAATCTCATAAAAACCTCACATATTAAGGATTTATTCAAATATCTTCTCCTCATCAAACTTTTTGGTCAAAGGATTTAACCAAATACCAGAACAAGTCAAAGGATTTAACCATATACCAGAACAAGTCAAAGGATTTAATCAAATACCAGAACAACTCAAAGGATTTAACCAAATACCAGTACAAGTCAAAGGATTTAACCAGATACAAGTACAAGTCAAAGGATTTAACCAAATACCAGTACAAGTCAAAGGATTTAACCAAATATCAGAAGAAGTTAAAGGATTTAGCCAAATACCAGAACAAGTCAAAGGATTTAATCAAATACCAGAACAAGTCAAAGGATTTAACCAAATACCAGTACAATTCAAAGGATTTAACCAAATACCAGTACAAGTCAAAGGATTTAACCAAATACCACAACAAGTCAAAATATTTAACCAAATACCAGTACAAGTCAAAGGATTTAACCAGATACCAGTACAAGTCAAAGGATTAAACCAAATACCAGTACAATTCAAAGGATTTAACCAAATATCAGAAGAAGTCAAAGGATTTAGCCAAATACCAGTACAATTCAAAGGATTTAACCAAATACCAGAACAAGTCAAAGGATTTAATCAAATACCAGAATAAGTCAAAGGATTTAACCAAATACCAGTACAATTCAAAGGATTTAACCAAATACTAGTATAAGTCAAAGGATTTAACCAAATACTAGTACAAGTCAAAGGATTTAATCAAATACCAGAACAAGTCAAAGGATTTAATCAAATACCAGAACAAGTCAAAGGATTTAACCAAATACCAGAACAAGTCAAAGGATTTAATCAAATACCAGAAAAAGTCAAAGGATTTAACCAAATACCAGTACAATTCAAAGGATTTAACCAAATACTAGTACAAGTCAAAGGATTTAACCAAATACTAGTACAAGTTCTCAAAGTATCTATCAGGCTGAAGGATGTGGTGAAGCAGAACTTTATGCGTCAGGAAATTGGAAATACAAGAATTTTTAGTCAATTTAAACACAAGATGTCGCACGAAGAATATATTTACTAATTATAATCAAAATTTTTATGAAGTCAAGTACCATGATTGGTACTAATATTATTCACATGTATATTTATTATTATAGTCAAACTTCATTATCTTATGCTCAATAGGACCAAAATAAAACTGAGATATTCAAGGATTCAACATACTGATGTTTAAGTGGTAGAGAGTTGAGACTTAATTGCAACTCATTTTGACATATCCATGGTATTTGAGCTAACAATGTTCAAGATACCAAAGTTTTCATTGGACATGAAAATTCACCTTTTCTTTCAGAATTATACATATTTAAGCTATAAAAACTTGTGTTGCAAAAAATATATGCAATCCCCAAAAACTATAGGGTATTATTCACTTGTATATACATTTCAAACTTTTAGAAATATATCTTGTTGTCAACACTGGCTTTAAGTATGATTCTATTTTAATTAAATAAACATTTAATTTTTGAGGCCTTGAGGCAATAGATTGATATATTAAGGACCCCCTCCCTTTCTCCCTCAACCTCAAATACAAGCAAAATGACAGGTTTTCCAAACAGTATGTTTTAATTTCGCTGTGGAAAAATGCAGCAGTGAGATACAGACATTGCATGCAGCAGGTGCTTGAATCTTACTCACGAAAACTCTCTGATCTGGTGAGAAGCTTGCAGTCTTTTATTAAGACTTTCATAAATCATTCACAATCACATCAATCATAAGAAATTGACCCTTTTGATCTCTCATACATAATACACATTGACAAAGTGTCAAAATTTGATACAACATTACAATCTGCTGGGAAATCTTATTTACTCTGAAGAGAAATATCTCCCTGGTAATGAGCCTATAACTGGAAAAAACAGCCATAGTTATTAGTATACTGTAGGTCTATAAATTCAGTGTAGATCCTAAAGATGTTAAATATTCATATCAAATGAAGTTTTCACTTTTGCAATCATGTGAACATATAATATTGGTCTTGTGCCAAAAAAAGAAAAATATAGATATTTTAACTAATAATGAACATTTACGCTAAACATGACTGATTTACGTATCTGAAGCAAACTCACTAAAATGGCACAAATACAAGAATATTATTGTAAATATTTATGAAAATTACAAAACAGATAAGTATTGTTATCCTGGAAATTTCTGGATGTCCTGAAGACCTGAAAGGTTATATATTACGTAGGTAATTAATGCATAATTCCATAAGGTATTCATCACAAATTAATAACACTACATGAAATAATATTTACACAGAATGTTGTCAGTTTGACACTTATTGAGGAAGTGATTGTTCATTTGTTTTATCCAATATACCCAAAAGGACATGTGGGTAAATAATGTAGCAAGAGGCCCAGGGGCCACAGCACTCACCTGAGCACATCGCGCTTGAATTTAAACCCGCCCCCCAAAGGCATTCATCATTTGAACAAACTAGAATCTACACTACCTGAGGATGATTCCATATAAATATCACTAATCATAGCTTTGAAGTACTTGAAAAGAAAATTTTTAAATGTTTCCCTATATATCCCTATGTAAAACTTGGGTCGGCCATTTTGGCCCCACCCTAGCCCCGGGAGTCATGATTTGAACAAACTTGAATCTACACTACCTGAGGATGATTCCACATGAGTTTCATTTTCCTGGCCCATTGGTTCTGGAGAAGAAGATTTTAAAATATTTTTCCTATATATTCCTATGTAAAACTTGGGTCGGCCATTTTGGCCCCACCCTAGCCCCGGGGGTCATGATTTGAACAAATTTGAATCTACACTACCTGAGGATGATTCCACATGAGTTTCATCTTTCCTGGCCCAGTGGTTCTGGAGAAGAAGATTTTTAAAGATTTTTCCTATATATTCCTATGTAAAACTTTGGTCGGCAATTTAGGGCCCACCCTAGCCCCGGGGGTCATGATTTGAACAAACTTAAATCTACACTACCTGAGGATGATTCCACATGAGTTTCATCTTTCCTGGCCCATTGGTTCTGGAGAAGAAGATTTTTAAAGATTTTTCCTATATATTCCTATGTAAAACTTGGGTTGGCCATTTTGGCCCCACCCTAGCCCCGGGGGTCATGATTTGAACAAATTTGAAACTACACTACCTGAGGATGATTCCACATGAGTTTCATCTTTCCTGGCCCAATGGTTCTTAAGAAGAAGATTTTTTAAAAATGCCATTAATTTTTCTCTAATTCATAATTATCTCCCCTTGGAAAAGGGCGTAGCCCTTTATTTGAACAAACTTGAATCCCCTTCACCCAAGGATACTTTGTGCAAAGTTTGATTGAAATTGGCCCAGCGGTTCTTGAGAAGAAGTCGAAAATGTGAAAAGTTTACGACGACGACAACAACAACAACGACTACAACGACGACAGACAACGGACAAAAATGATCAGAAAAGCTCACTTGAGCCTTCGGCTCAGGTGAGCTAAAAAGTCCCAGAGAACTTAATTAATAGAGATCATCCTACACTTGTAAAAGTAGCACATGACAAAAAAAAATCATTCCACACATTTCAATTGAAGCTAAGACTAGAATATCACAGTGGGTCAATTCCTAAGGTCAATGTAAAAAAAAATGTTAATACATGTACCCAATGAAAAGTCTTGTCACAATCAAATTGTTCAATGTAACATCAACTTATGTGTGAGTAACCTGTCTCAGTTCTTTAACTGATCGTACTTAATAGAGCATGCTTTTGTGTATCAAGTAAGTGAAATACATAAACACCACTTGCTGGTGAAAGCAGAAAAGGAAACTTGATTGTGGAAAAGCAGAAGTCATCTCATTTTCATACAATTTAGTTGTTAGTTTGTCTTTGTCATTTTAAGGTTCATAAACCCTCTGCTCATTCATATAAAATGTAGCTTGAACCTTGATGATTTTCCAAAAGAAATGTATTTTATAAGTAAAATACAAACAATTATAGCATAGCTTGCGGGGCAAAATTAGAGGGGAAAAAAACACTTCAATTGACAAATCTATAAAGGAATAATAAACATTTATGTCATTAAGAGTTATCTCTCTTTTCAGAGTATCAATGAGCCTTAAAGTCAGTAAAACATAACAGAAAACTGTCAAATATGCATTAATAAATGTGCACCCTACAGTGAGTATCCATGCCCACTGCATTGGATTATTAAAACTTATAAGGGTTTGACAAATCAAGCCGAACATTCTACAAAACTAATCATTACTTCTACCCTCATTCAAGTAATATTCTAAGAATTCACAAACAAATGACCATAGAGTACTGATGTGGAAGCAATCTCCAGAAAATAACCTGTGAGCATGAAGAAATAAAAAAGACAAAATTGATAGAGAATTAATCTTGCAGAAGAACACTAGACATTTTCAATGGTGAGATTACCAACTTCTTCATCAAAAGTTGATATGCTTGCAATTTGCGGCAGTTGATGAAGAGGATTAATGGAGCCTTATATCACGGCCTTCTTGGGTTTTATCCCTTCAGTCAGATAATTGTTTTCCCTTGTCACCGGCAAATTGCATTGGCTGTAATCAAGAAGGCATAGTCCCTGGGGAAGCCAAAAGTAATTCCAAGAAATAATCATTATTTACTCCCTCCAACAAATAATATATTTGTCTAAGTTTGTAAACACTGTCAAAAAAATCTAAGTATTGATACATTATAGCATAACTGTCTGAGAGGGGAAAAGCCATGTTTTAGATTTCTTTTTCTCTGAGAAAACCCAAAATAAAAAGCATGTTAGAAAGTGTAAAATCAATATGATAGTGGTTCCTAATAAGAATTTTCTGTAATGCAGGAAAGAAGTTGTAAAAGAAAACATGAAATATAAATTTTGCAATATAATAATTCTAAGAAAAATCAAGGTATCCTAATTAAAATATAAAGTTTATACACTGTACTTCAAAGATCACAAGGTGTTGCATGTACATCACTTGGATGCAAATCTGGACAATTCCTGGTATTGAGAGATCAAAAAGAAAAAAAAAAGATTTTATAAAAGAATCTTGAAAGGAAATTAATGACCAAATGCCAATGCAAAGAACACCAGGTAATTCTCAGCCAAGAGTATCAACTTAGCAAGTACTTTGATGTATTGGAGTACACTTTTGGCAGCAGACCAATAAAACAGTGTAAAATGAAACCTTGACTCTATCCGTTTAACACTTTGGCAAATCTCATTTCCATTTTTAGAAGACTTTTCATATGAATGGTCCTTCATTCTGGCAAATATCATTCATAACTCTGTTATAGCTTTGGCCAATGTCTTGTGATAGACAACTGTTTATTTCTGGAGCACCAATACCATAATAATATTTGTCGCTAGAAGCTTTAGAGCCAAGAATACCCAATGTTGATTCATAATACATTCCGTAAGTTTATTGTATATTAGTGAGAATTCCTTAAATCTAGTGGGTTTGTTGTAACTGTATTTTACTGTATGTATTAAATCATTCACTTTCCTGACATATAAGTTTGGAATCTGCTTACTTGATTCTTCTGTTAAGTGAAACGTATATTCAAAATATCTACAGTATAAATACTTATTACAAAGTGCAGGAATTCAGCTGTGTTCCATATTTAAAATGTATGAAATACATAAAAGGACTAAAATTGGTCATAAAAATCAATGCAATTTACTCTCAATAATCATATCCCTTGGAATAGAATTCATAGATTTAAAGTTAAAGCCGCTTAACCCGAAACAGGCGCATATTATCTTACACAATAAAAGTACGTCATTACATAGATAATATATAAAAATAAATTATAAGATTGATTTAATTGTTTATTACAACAATCCTTACATGGAAAACGCAGATCAAAAACCTTATTGACAAACAGTAGTTCCTGACGGAAGTTAAGATCTGTTGTGAAGTCAATTTTGAAAAAAATAAGTTTATCGGATATATCTATTAATGAAGATAATTCAAACCCGAGTATTTTTTTCTCTATTAGTAGAAGCCTTAGTCAAAATACATCTTTTCAAAATTAAGAAATTAATTGAATATAATCCATGGTA